CTGTCATCGTCGATCGTGTGTCTCGTAGATTTTGCTTCGCACACGGCTCGGTACTTGTTTCCAATGTTCGGAAGTAAGATTAAACCTATTCAGGGAAAGTCACTCTGCTAAAATCCTTTCAGCTACATTCCCTTTCAGAAGCCAGATTTACATAATTTCATCGGATTTACAGCAACATTTGTTTTTTCAACAGTGCATTTTCTAAGTTCGTTTTCGAGTGCCATGAATACCAATGTTCCAACCACAAGTACAGCGTCTTTCTGCGGCCGAAGCTCTGAAATTGTTTCAGTCAGATGTTTTTAATTCTTATAATGATAATGAAAATTTAGATTTTTCGGAAATTAATTTGGACGGTTAATTTTCACCAGCAAAGCTGAGCGATCAGCTGTTCGGAATCTAGTGATTCTGACGAGTTTATTACACAGACAATGTCTCATTGCTACCATATTTATGGTGCAAGAGAAGGAAAGTGCTCTAAACAAAGAGGTTGTACTATACTATGGCTGAGCTACATTGAAATCATCGCAGCTACAGTCTGTATATAACTGTACAAAGTAAATAGTGTGTGTGTAATGGCTCATTTTTTTGCCATTTTTTCTCTGAAATTTTGCTCAGAACCCTGTAAGAACTTAGGAGCCCCTGAGTGCTAAACTAACCCAGAAACTTAACATAACTTTGGAATTTGTAAGGAAATTGAACAAACTTTGAAGTTTTGTTCTCAAATTTGGATATTCACTACTCTTGTGGCTGCAATATCATGGTAAGTGAAGAATTTGTAAAATGTTATTGTTGTGAAATGAACAATGGCTGAATTCTTCTTTCCTACTAACTGTAAACAAATTAAACATATTCTTATCATCAGATTCCAAATGTACATTCACCCTTCTGCTATTTTTGTAAAGGTAAATTAATGTGGGCCATGTCTGTCAAAATTCATGGGCCTGAAAGAGTTAAAAGAAATGAATGTATATTTTCAATTATTTGATAAGTTTATGTTTAATACTGTTACAGTTAGTAGAAATGAAAATTCAGTATGTGTAAATTTCACAACACGTTTTTACACAAAAATCCTTCATGGTTTTGCAGCTACAAGAGCAGTTCATATCCAAACCTGAGAATAACACTTTAAAGTTTGTTCAGTTTCTGAACAAATTCCAAATTTATGAGGTTTCTGGGTTATTTTAGCAATCAGAGGATCTCAGTTCTGACACAGCATTGAACACAATTAAAAAAAAAACATTGCAGAAAAGTGGACTATTTCATGCAGTATTGACCTTGTACAGTTATATACAGACTGTAGCTGCAATGATTTCAGTATGGTATTGTCTTAAACAGTCCTTTGGATGTAAATGTGGGTGATTGTCTGTCACATACTGTACCAATGGAACAATCGCTGATTGTCTGTCACATACTGTACCAATGGAACAATTGCTGTGTCAGAATCATCAGAACTGCTGGATTCCTAAAGAGTTGACCGCTCAACTGCCGCTTTCAGTCACAGAGAAAAATGCATTTTGCAGACTGTACTTGTGGGTGCAGCATTAATATCCATGGCACTCGAACATGAACTTAGAAATGCACTGTTGAAAATAAAGATAGCAATGAATCGGATAAATCTGTGTCCATCTGGGTTCGAAGAATCTTATTTAAAGCAAAAAGATAGAGTACCTTTTCCTAAATAATTGAAAAGTAGTTCCAAACATTAGAAACAATTACGCCGCCGTACGCAAAACAGTATTTATGATCAACGCTGACAGTTTTGTTTGGGCAAATGGGAATTTCTCATTCAACACTCACAGCTTTGCTCAGGTCTTAAAGAGTTAAAAAGCATGCTGAAAAAAGCCACTAATAAAGGGTGTGCTGAAATTTGATGCATTGGGACTAAAGAAACAAAATACTACAGCTTAGCTGTAAACCACAACACAACATTCTAGCCTCCTTTTTAAAAGTAAAACTGCATAGTTTATTGTGATAGCGGTAGTTAGGACTGTATACTCAATTTTCTAAAATAAATTTATAATTATGTAATAGAGAAACCTGCTCTTGTAACTTTGTTAAAAGATTTGTGAACAAGAGTTCAGTTATCATTTAAGATTATTGAGAGACCTACAGAATGGTAAGTTTTATACTAGGCTGTCTGGTAGTGCTGTAGAGGTGGCAGCCGTACAGAAGACAAGTGACTCCAACTTAAAAGCTTTCTCTTTGTCAGAATGAGAGACTTTATTCACAGATAAGGCTTATAAGCAGAGCTTGAGTAAATTAAGGAGAAGATAACCTAAAAGAGTTAGATTATGTATGCACAAAGTTGTGAGCTCTTGAGCAAAAGCAGTAACTATGGAAATTAAATGGATAGCAAGGTCCAGGGAATGGCCTCAGGAGGGACTGAATAGAGCATGAGCCTGTGAGTGAGGGGCAGTGGTGGTAGGAGGTAGATCTTTGGCATTGTCATGTAAGAGCTAGATGATATTGTCCTGTGTAACAGGATATGAGAGGTGGTTTCATTTGGCTATGGACAGGTGAGCATACAGTGTTTTCCTGCCTATCATCTGTAGGATCCAGTAGAAAGACCACTGCATTAGAAAGGGAGATACCAGCATTATCAGCTCTGAGACACTCAGAAAGATCACTGCATTAGAAAGGGAGATACCAGCATTATCAACTCTGAGACCACTCAGAAAGACCACTGCATTAGAAAGGGAGATACCTACATTATCAACTCTGAGACCACTCAGAAAGACCACTGCATTAGAAAGGGAGATACCAACATTATCAACTCTGACACCACTCAGAAAGACCACTGCATTAGAAAGGGAGATACTAACATTATCAACTCTGAGACCACTCAGAAAGACCACTGCATTAGAAAGGGAGATACCGACATTATCAACTCTGAGACCACTTAGAAAGATCACTGCATTAGAAAGGGAGATACCAACATTATCAACTCTGAGACCACTCAGAAAGACCACTGCATTAGAAAGGGAGAGACCAGCATTATCAACTCTGAGGCCACTCAGAAAAACCACTGCATTAGAAAGGGGGATTCCAAAATTGTCTTATATTAGATTGGATCTTCAGTGACGTCTCCCGAGTTCTTTTGTAGAAGCTGAGTTTCAGTTATGTCCAAGTGGATCATGTTTACTTTTTTATATGCATCCTGTGAACTGCTTATCAATGAGCTATTGTAATCAGTGTAAGTGTCTTTGGAAGGCTCTGTGTGTCTGCCATTATATCTAAACTGCAACAATACATACACATATTTAGAGCTATTCTACCTCAAGGTAGCTTCAGCTTAGCTTGCTTAATGACTAGAGAAACTAGATTATGTCTGCTGCTGTTCATCAGTTATATTTGCTCAGATCTGAGAGAACCTGGATGTGTCTGATGTTTTTTCTGTGATGTTTGGAAGAAACATTTCTACTGTATGCATTCAGGGACGTAAGCTTACTTATAGTAGAAACATTTGTAGTGAGATGTGTGGAAGTACAACGCAAGATACACAAAACTTGTTTGTTTGATTCCCATACAGCTGGAAGGCAGCAGCACCCGCTACGATGTTTACATTAAGCAAGCCAGGAAGAGAGTGTTCACATTTGGCAGTGACAAGGTTGTGGTGAATGTGGAGGTGCTCCTTGGGCAGAAGATCATCTCATTTACATCACTTGTGCTGGTGGGTCACACAGCTGTCAATTCTGATTATTCTTCTGTCACCCTTAAAAGGCAGTTATCATACTCATTTGTGGCTTACAGCTAGGCTGTGATATCTATTCATTTTAACTCAATAATCTGATCTTAGAAAATCCATATTTAGTCACTTTGTATGACATTGTTAAGTGTCAGTCGTTACATTCTTTTCCTACCAACCATAGGGTCACAAAAACCAATAGCAAACAACTGCGGATCATCTGTGTTTATGATTTTTGGCACATTTGTGTATGTGTCTAGTAATTATATGCAGTATTGGTACATTTGTTTATGTGTCTAGTAATGATATGCAGTTTTGGTACATTTGTTTATGTGTCTAGTAATGATATGCAGTATTGGTACATTTGTTTATGTGTCTAGTAATGATATGCAGTATTGGTACATTTGTTTATGTGTCTAGTAATTATATGCAGTATTAGTACATTTGTGTATGTGTCTAGTAATTATTTGCAATATTTGTATATTTGTGTACATGTCTAGTAATTATATGCAGTATTGGTACATTTGTGTATGTGCCTAGTAATTCTATGCAGTTTTTTTACAGTAATGTATGTGTCTAGTAATTATTTGCAGTATAAGTACAGTAGTGTATGTGTCTAGTAATTGTGTGAAGTGTTATTACATTTGTTTATGTGTCTAGTATTTCTGTGCAGTATTGGTACATTTGTGTATGTGTCTAGTAATTCTATGCAGTATTGGTACATTTGTGTGTGTGTCTAGTAATTATGTGCAGTATTGGTACAATAGGGTATGCATCTAGACATTGTATGCAGTATTAGCACATTTATGTATGTGTCTAGTAATTCTATGTGTCGTGAGATGAGCAGCCACCATACACCGTGGATGAGTCGGGACTTGATATCCCTCGCGCTCAGCAAAATTTCAAACTTAGACCCGTCCGGAAAGGTATACAGTCCCTTATATTGATCTATACCTTTATCTGGTAAAATAGTCATTTCTGGACCCTCTAGTTGCTTTGATATATGTTCATTTTCAAACTTGCAACTGTAGGTTGGCGAATTCTGGTAGTTTATTTGAAAATTCCTGGAAACCGGTTTACTCCTTGTTCATGAATACAAGGAACTTCTTTCCTAGTGATGCGGGTTTGAATTTGAGAACGCCATTCTTTCGCCCGATCCCAAAGTGTCAAGACGTGTATCCAGTCTTAGTAGAATTTGGCGCATTCATAGTTCCAGTTCTAACTTGGAAGATTTCCTAAGCTTGGGTAAGTTAATTATAGTTTACGAGTACCAGAAATGATGTCTTTTTAAAGTTGGTCACTGCTGCAGGAAGGGCAGAATCAGCTGTGTGATCGCACAGAGTTCGACCGTTCTTGATGTCCAGAGATCCGGATCCGAACCTTAGACCTTCCCATGTACAGACTAATTAGTTGGCGCTCTACATACCCCACACCATTGGTAAAGATATTAAACCCTACAAGTAATTGTTCTCTGACCAGTCAAACGAAGTTTGTGCAGTATTAACTGGAACAGGGAATGTAGGTCAGCTTTAACCGGCAGTCAGGGCTAAGCGCTCTGCGTCGAGGTGTGTTTGACACAGATTCAGTGGGTGTGTAATGAACGGCCTGTGGAGACGGAATATATATATAGGTACCCACTATAAACTTTGTATGTCTAAGTGCAGATGTGAGGGTGGAGAGAGGATGATCTATGTGGGATAGTGTCTATCTATCTCCACTTTATATATCTGGCTTTCTATCTGTTGCACTAGTTTACAGACAGATAAATGAAGAGAGACACTGTCTCCTGGTCTTGAGAGTACACTCTGAGGAATGAAGAAGAGGAGCAGAGGTGGGATGAGCTGATGTGTGATTAAAGCTGATTACTAATTCTGAGTTCTTTCCTGACAGGATGATACCTCCTTAGTGATTACTAATTCTGAGTTTTTTCCTGACAGGATGAGACCTATGTAGAGATCAGGCAGACGAATCACAGTCCAGCCAACAACCCCCAACCCATACCATTCTATTCACCAAGCATAACTATGTCCTGCCCTGTATGCCACTACCTTAACATGGCAAGAGCGTGTTTGTGAGCTCCAGGACGAGTGAACATTTGCAGACATTGTGTCATTCATCTAGTGAACCAGTCTTCAAGAGCTTGGTTGGGCTCTGAGACAGTTTTTGTGACCTGACCTGTGAGAAAGACTTGTTGAGTCCCTATGCAGTTTCTGTGTCCTCGATGGTGAGGAAATCAACTGTACCAGATCAACTAGAGGCAGAGATACCTGAGTCAACTACAGTCGAATCACTATGGACTGAGGGGAGCATCGACCTACGAACTGGGCTAAGTGATCGTTTAATCATCATCATGCTCTCTTCCCACAGCTCCGCGAGATTCCAGTGATGAACTCATGTACATCTCAAGGCAATCTGGCTGCTTCAATATCTTGGTTGAGTCATTGTTTCCTAAGCTTCATCCACTGAGATCTGGTTTACCTATTCACTATTTTATGTATATATTGTACTGAATAGGGGCTTTTGAGCTGAAATGCTATAGAAAGATTCTCAGAATATCTTGGACAAAGAAGATGAGAAATATTGACATCTTAAAAGATCTGAACATCAAGGAAGATTGGCTAATAAACAGCATCCTTTCTCGAAAGCTGAAATATTTTGGTCATTTCAAGCGCCACGGCGGATTGGAAAAAATTAAAGCAGAAGGCATGGTACCAGGAAGGAGGGGCAGAGGCCGACCGACACGAAGATGGGCACAGGATATAAGTGACTCCTTGAGTGTGAAAGTTCATAAGGCGGGAGAACTGGCAAGAGACCGAGTTTCTTACAGGCAGACTGTGATGAGAGCGACGTTCTGCAAAGGACCTGCTACATGATGATGATGATTGTACTGATTACATGCATACATTTTTATGGCTGACTTAGATGTCCCTATTTCACCATTCTAACTGTCTAGCTTTGATGTTTGTGTGAGTAATAATTGTTATCTGTGTTGACAGGGTTATACTATCATAACCTGGGTGTTATCTTTTTATAGTAGTGGGGGTGTCCAGCCAAGTGTGCCTAGGAATAATATATATTTTGTAGTGACAAAACTTGAGTTGCCCTACTCCTGAAATAAGTTGAGCGTATATTGGCCACGGGGCATCCCTCAGACCAATACAAGCCAACGACTCAACATAATTATTTCAGGGATTTATTTATGTCCTAGAAATGTATGATAACTGAATTATCTCTACTAGAAAAGAGTAGTGTGTAAGTATTTCTGTGATTGCACCTAGACATGTTTGAGATCTGTTTGTGCATTTATGGCACTGATGTGTGATATCTGTGTGAGCATTTTTGTGATTGCTCCTAAAAGTGTGTGATATCTGTATATGCATTTCTATGATTGCTGATAAAAGGAAATGATATCTGTGTATGCATTTATGAGACTGCTTCTAAACATGAGTGATGTCTTTATATGCCTAGCTGTGATTACTCTAGACAGATTTTGATAATCTTTATGTGGATTTGTGTGATTTCTTCTAACAGTGTAAGATAATCTATGTATGCAATTGTGTGACTGCTTCTAGAAGATTGTGATAGATTTGTAATGGTCAGCTTATTACATTATTTGGAACATAAATCCCTTAACTCTTTCAGGACCACATTTTTTAATGGGGTTTGGACAGCATTATTTTGAGCGATTGTTTTTTTTTTACTGCAACACGACAAAGCTAAAAACTTCCTGAAGAAAAAGTACTGGCTGTATTGGACATATAATATATCAAATTAAAAAAAAGATAAATGAGTGCAGAATAAATCTAAACTATTTAAATGTCAGTATAACAACATAAAATTATTAAAATCACACAACATTCAAGAATGTTAGACACATATGAAAATTATTGACATAAAAAATTGTGTGCTTACCTTATTTTTTCCTTGTTCAGTAACATTGCTTTTCAGTTCTAAGAATGCACACGCCTTCTCTGTTCAGTTATGTATCAGCTAGTCTTTATTTGAAACAATTAATTTAAATACTTTAGATGTTATGATCATATCTGTATGACATGTCAATTTTCAAAACAACCGAAAATCAGAAAAACAGTTGATCAAAACATTGATCTGATTTAAATATTTTGTGAAATTTTCATATCCTTAACTAAATTATCACTAGTAGATTTGTCACTTAGATATCAATCATAATATCAAGACTGTCTTGTCCCCATCTGGCAGAGATTCGTCAACGATAGAGCAGTATGAACAGTTCTAGACCTTTTCCCTTGTCATTTAGTACAGAAAAATCATGTAAAAATTGTATCCCATCTAAATATTTTTTTTTAAATCAGAAAATAATTCACCGACCATGATGCACGTCGCAAATGAAAGGACTTCCTGTTGTTAATTCTAATTGTTCAAAAACTTGTTCATAAAAGTTTGTTTTCCCTTCAAACAGAACAAAATTAGAGTGTCTCTATCATGATCCAGTAGACTGGTGATACGTCTCTAAGGGATAGACTTAATCGCTAGTATACTGGCTAAACGTCTGTATAGAGTTAACATGACAAATTTTTCAGATTATTTTATTAATTGGTAATGATACAAACAGACTCTCAGAATATCATGGAGAAAGAAAAAAAATACTGACATCCTTAACTCTTTGAGTCCCAAGATACGCATCATACATTCATAGGTTCGTACCTAGAAGCCTAATGAACGTATGATGCGCTGATTTTATGACTCTCTTTACTACCCCCTGTGATGCTAAACCATCTGGGACTCAAAGAGTTAAAGATGTGAACATCAAGGAAGATTGGCTAGTCAACAGCATCTCATTTCAGAAACTGAAATATTTTGGCCACATCAAATTTGGGGGGGGGGGGGGGGGGGGGAGGGGGGGGGGGAATAGCAGCAGAAGGCATGGTACCAGGAAGGAGGGGCAGGGATTGACTTGTATAAAGATAGGCCCAGGTTATAAGTGAGACCTTGGGAAGAAAAATGCATATGATGGAAGAGCTAGTGAAGGGATAAGTTTCTTTAAAGCATACCCTGATTAGAATGATGGTCTACGAAGAACCTGCTACATTAAAATGATGTTATTTGTTAAAATTCAGTTGTTTTTAGTCAGTTTGTCCTAAATTTGTGTTAGCTTTATACATTTCAAACAGGTGTTATTTTAACTCGTTTTATCCACACACAAAAACTTGTAGTTTAAATAATATCATAAAACAGGTCTATTGCTGAACATCATTCACATTACAGCCTGCCTGATAGTAACTCTTGTCTCTCACCATATTCCCCTGAGTCATGCACTTCCTTACCCAAGACATCACTTAAATTCCTGTGCACAACTTTGGGGTAGTCAGCCCACGCCTCTTCTTTAACCCCACCAGACCGCTGGCCCGGTTTTCAGGGAATTTCTAAACCTGAAAATATACCGCTGGCCCTAAATTTCGGCTTTTTGCGAAGTACGCCGAAAAGATGCATCACGGACTAAAAATAACCACCCAATCGTTATCAATCTTCTCTGTTAGACATTGCAAATGTCTGCCCGCATGTGTTTGGATTATATTTGTGTTGTTTTACGTGGAAAAATTCGAAAAATTTACAATGAAATGAGCGGCTGATGAACCACGTTCTCAGCGTTTCACAGTCCGACAGGTGATCAATACTTTGGTTTATTCAGACTCTGCGGAGTGATAATTTCATAAACAATACATTCTTGGAGTGATAATTTCACAAAGAATACGTTCTTGAAGTGACACTGTCAGTAAGAGCGCGAATGATGAGGAAAATCTTGAAAATTTAAAATCTTGAAATAGATCGATAGTAGGAGAAAGGTGTGTCCCTCAAATGGCAACATTCGGTGTTCACTTTGTGAAACAAAGTTGATCCTGATGAGTGGATTCGCACACAAATTTAAAAAATTGGCGCTAGATAAAAGTTAAGCCTATTTTCTACAATGTCTCCAAGTTTCATCATATTCTAGCCACTCGTTTGCATGTAACTAATATTTTTGTATATCATGTTGGTTTTTTCGCGGTAATGCCCAGGAGCTCAGGTTATATGGACAGTTAGGTTCAGGGCCTCAGGTCTGGTAGGGTTAATGCACCATGCCTTCGGCTACTAGTCTTTCCAATTGGCTGTGGTGAAATATTAAAACAAAAGGAATTTATGTGACATTTGGAGCAAAGTGGGTTAGTTTAACAAGTGGTTGGACGAACAAGTAGCGAAGAAATGTGGATCATCTAAGCAGAAACCTTCCCAAACAGGATGCATTGCTTAGTAGTGAATGAGTTAACTAGTGACTACAATCAATCTTCAACTGTTTCACTACACAGTGTTTAATTTTAAATTAGCTGATAGTTCAGTTCTGCTTCGTGACTGCATTCTGGTTGTTCCCTTGCAATCTCCTAGCACTGTGATATATTTACCTAGAATTAGGGCTAGGACAGAAGTAAATGTGTGTGGGGATCACAGCTTGTTCCTGGTTCCTGTTAGGGTGTATTTCATGGATCTGTATAACTGTTACATTTTGTTGTAGCTCCCATATTAGCCTTTGGCTAACTTTTGATCTAAGCAATAGGCCATTTCATCTTGCTATGTTCCAGTAATAGCCAACGATTAAGTACCCTAGACCAAGAAAGACCTGGATACAGAACCTTACTGAGAGGATAGGCCTGAGACATGCAACCATGAAGTCCATCACATCCGACCGTCAAGGTGGAGGGAGCTGATCAGTCAGCAGTAACTGGTGGCCAAATGACAAGAGTTTTACGGGATAATGATGAGGAAGTACCATATTCACCCCAATGGCATGTTGGAGATATGATGCAAAACACATACACACGTGCACACACACACACGCAAATAAATATATATATTAGATTACCAGATTACCAGATATGTATATAAATATGTATAAGCCAATGAGCACTCGATGGGTGATGTTGACCACATTTTGTCAACGATCTTTACCTCCCATTTCATTGTATTCATTTTAGGCTGAGTTGAACTGGGAGCTGGGAGCCAAGAGTTGATTTAATAGATGCACTCACTAGGGGTACAGACTGCTTTATTGCGAGATAACATTTCCAACATGTTTGCACAGACATATTTCCACATTTTGAAAACCTGCCACAAAACTATTTATAGTGTGTTTCAGGTTGATCCTCATCATTGCCACGTAGTGAATGCACTGTGCTGAGATTTTCCTTCAGTGAAAACTGTATGACTTCTGAAGGTATTGGTGGACATTGAAAGTCATCCTGTTTGATAATAGCATGGCTTTCTTGTCTGCTGTACAGAGAACAGGATTACTTACCCATCAGTTGCTAAACATTGTCATACCACTAGCCTGACACATTCCATGACATCCACCAGCCTCCCCTCTACTTTCAGGCCTGATTTCTGGAGATAAGTTACCTGTGACTGTGCATTTATTTGTTTGTCTTCCTTAGGTCAAGAATCACTTGAATGTGCCAATACTAATCAAGTATGCCAATGACCATGTGGTTGAGATGGCAGGAGATGTGTATCCAGACAGTTCTTTACCTCTGCCTCTGAAAGCTGTCAGTAGTCCCAGTGGGCAGCTGTTCTTTCAGCCCAAAACTGAAGACTATCAGTAAGTGCTACTGTAGTACTGCAAACACATGAGCCCTGCTTTTACTGGTGATTTATTGAAGCAGTGGCTCTGGGGCCTAGGTTAGTGAATGCATTTCACAATTCCCAGTGTACCGGGGTTCAATTATTGCTATGAGTGGTTTAGAAGAATACTGTTCTTGTGGCTGTTGGCAGTGGTGTGAGAGTTGCATTTTAGAAGAGATGGGGGTCTCACCATGTAATATTCCCAAAGAGAGCCGTCAATACACATATCTACTGCAGCCTGTCTCCAGTGAAAAGGTAGCAATGTTTTTTTTTTCCAGTAATTGTTGACAACTATTGAGAATATTTGTATTTAATGGTCGCTGTAGTCAGTCTTCAGTGACTTAGGAGCTCATGTCTATCAACTAGTGTTGTGTTATTAGTTGATAGCTTAGAGTCTGGTATCTGGACTCAAACAGTGACTAAATGGGTTGATACTTGTATATACTTGTTATCAAAGCCCTGCTGAATGGCATGTCATCCACCTGTGGCAAAATGATAGACAGATATTTAAAGATATGGTAAGACAACATTCTTATGTGATTCTAATGAAGAATACTTGGCATCAAGTGGTAAGATAAAATCACAAACATTAGCATTGTAAAAGATCCTATATTGTTTCCTCATTGCTCAGTCTCTGAAGGCTCAGATGGCTAGTACACACTTGCACTTGGAGGGTGAAGGTTAGTAGAGGCCATCAGAATGTTCTCTATTCTGAATTACAGATAAGTAGATGATGTGGAGGTTTGCCTTCTGAGGATATAAAGAAGTTGGCAAGTGAGGCATAAGGGATATAGGTATTGAGGTAGATTAACATGATGCCAATGGACTGTGTTACATAGGTGAAGGAAAAGGGGGAGGGGGTGGGGAAGGGGATTCTGGAAGAAAAAAAAAAGAAAAGAAAAAAAAAACACTGATTGCAGATAGGTTAGTAACTGAAAGTATGAGAAGAGGTTTGTTAAAAACATGTGATGGCAACAGTGATCCTGAAATCCTGTGCGCTGGCTGTATAAGATGTTTCTGAAAACAAGCAGGTTTTATTAACCACACTAGCTATCGCCATGTGGCGCGACTTCCATGCCTCACTACAAAACAATATACTACTTCCATCTGCAAAGAATAAAGGGACCAACATAACAATGGATTTGTTTAGTCTTAGCATTGTAACAGCAGGCATTCACATGCATATCTGCAGCTTCTCAGCCTGTCATGAGGGCATCATATGGAAGAATTTAACAGATAATACAAAGGTCAAACAAATAACTTGTGAAACACTGGATAAGGGACAGCCTGCTTATTACTTCAATGTAAGTATTTATTGCTGTGTAGTTTTTGTTACGTGAGATTCTTCTGCTTCTTCTTCTTCTTCTTCTGTTGCTGCTACTAATTTTTCAAATTCTTCTTCTCCTCCTGTTCCTCCTCCTCTTCTTCTTCTTCTTCTGCTTTTTCTTCATCTTCATTTGCAACTGCTGCTGCTCCTTCTTCTTGTTCTTATTCTCATCCTCCTCCTTCTTCTCCTCCTACTCCTCATTCTTCTCCTCCTTCTTCTCCTTCCTCTTATTCTTCTTGTGAAACAGTGGAATCCACTACATTATACTTGTTTCTATGATTATAAGATGGTACATACCCTTTAGGTTTTAACTTGATTTTACTTCCAACAGAAAATGGTCAGTAAATACATCAGCACCTCTGAAAGTCCTAACATCACAAATTAATGATCTACATTGTTGTTTGTTTATACATAGGTGATCAGTTTGGTTGGTTCTCTTATGATCTACTGATTACCATGTTGCCCTGGGTATTCTTTCATATGGGAAAAGGCTTACACAAATTGCTGGTTGTAGTGAATGAATGATCTTTCTGTGCTGGGGCTGGGATCTGTGAGCCCTGACGATCCCTAGTTGAAAAATTGTGGCACCTGAATCATCTTAGTGAAATGGTCCTATTGTTGGTTAGTAAAAATGGTCAGTAAAGGTCCCATGTCTGCATCTTGAGTCATAATGGACACAGTATTATGCTAGCCTAATATTTTTATAGACAGACGAGTACTTAGCGATACATACTATCTGCCTTTTCTTCCCAGGGTATTTTCCTAGTACCCATTTTAGTAGTTTGTCCACCAGGACTGATGAAGACCAGCTTTCATCCAAAGTAGTATTGATCAGTGATTATGAGTACGAAAATGGCTGATTAGTCCTATACAAGCCTGGAGAGTTCTTTGCATTTTAGTAGTAGTAGTATTAGTAGTGGTAGTAATTTTATCAGAGATGTCTTGTTTAGCCCTTGCAGGTTATAACTGGGATCTGTAGAATTTGTGTCACTTTTGCTCTAGATCAGCCTGAAACCTAGATCATATTCACAAAGGTAATCATGGTAGAAGTATGTGGTTTTGATTCGATTATGTTTCTCTGGATTCAATCAGATCTTACCAGAGTTTGAAAAAATCCTTGAAGGAAACACCAGGGAGCTTTTACATGAGATTGTGACCCTTCACCTACATCCCACAGTCATCCTGCACAATCTACTACCATTCAGCGTCCAGATGTCACTGCAGGTATGTCAGCATGTATGTGGACTTTTTGGTTGTCCTTGTGTTGCTAGCAGTAACATGGGTATTGTTGTCTAAGGACTGTGAGTACCCATCATTAATTTATATGAGCAAATCAGATCAGTATCTGATAGGGTAAAATTATGAAGGCTGTATGTTGTCTGGTGAAGCATATGAGATCCATCTCTGGTCTGTTTAAATATAAATGATAAATCTCTGGTCTTTTTAAATGTTGTCAGTTACTGACTTTGTCAAATTATGAGATCCATATCTGATGCTACTGGCAATGATGGTAGCCTCTACAGTTCTCATAGACTGAAAGCCAAGACCAGGATTAGGAAGGTACTCATTAAAGAGCTTCCCTTTGCTGATGATGCCACAGTTACAACACTCAGAGGAGGAGAAATAGCCTTACTAACTGCATTCTCTAAAGACGGCTGTGTTTGGGCTCACTGCAAAAAGAAGACAAAAACTATGGTGCAGGGTGCTAACGATAGTCCTGCAGGGTGCATTGATAGTGAAGATAAATACTAAGATTTTGGAATGTTTTCTCATTGCTTAGTCTTCAAACGCTCAGCTGGCTAGGAAACACTTGAAGGGTAGTAGAGTCCTCTACGGTGAAGTACAAATGTGTGGAAGATGTTGAAGTCTGCCTCTACTCATCATCGTCATCAGGTGCCTTGCCAACCGGTGTGGGCGATCATGCCTCTCCACAATCTGCGATCTCCCGCAGCATGTATTAGTTCGTGTGCCGACACACCTCCATGCCTTGCAACAATATTGTGAAGAATCTTCTCTCGTTGTCTTCCTCTATCCCTCCTTCCACAGATCTTTCCATTGGTCACAAAATGTTTTATTTTCCCTCTTCTTATAAAATGGCTGAAAAATGATGACTTTCTCCTTCTGATATCTGTGATAAGTTATCTTTGGGCTCCCGCCTCTTTCAAAACCTCTTGGTTGCTCTTCTTGGCTGTCCAAGGTATTCTTAGCATTCTTCTGTAAAACCTCTACTACAGTGTAAACAATATGTGCAAGCAGGACAAAAATGAATCCAATATTGAGTTTGATTTGTGGGAACATGAAATCGTGAGCCCTGGAAGAGAAAAATTATGAAGGGAATAGGGATTAAGTAGAAAATGACTGCAGATGAAGGTGCATGTCTAAAAGAAAGAATTCTAGATACATGCAGTTGCAATAATAATGTCTGGGCAACCACTAGTGAAACAAATTATAAGACAAAGATTATGTGGCTAAACTGGACACATTCTGAGAAAAAATGAACAGAGAACTGACAAACTTTTTTAAAGATTTTTGTTTATCGGTAATACTATTCTTTGTTTTAAAAAAATCTCAACTGCATGAATATAGATTTGCCATTTTTTTACAGTATTTGAAATCGTATTTAGAAGGTTGTCATTTTTCCTGTCGAAACTGGGGGTGACTGTATTTGTGCCAGTATCAAGGAGCAACTAAACACAACACAAACGGGTAGTTTCTCCACTGAGCTTCCTAGTCTGTGTTGTGTTTAGCTGCTCCATGTTATTTTCTGAGAAGTCTTTATTATAGGATAAGACTTTGTGAGCACTGCCAACTACTGTTTTACTTCAGCTCCCAACCTGACCCTCACTTCCACAGTGCTTGTATTATTCCAACAATATTTGACAGGGCACAAGTGAAACCCACACATTAGAGGCAGGCCACAACATCCCCCTAAGTCATGCGTCTGTCAATGAAAGTGTGCTTCTGGTGCAGGTGAGAGTGTCAGTGTAGCCACTGCCACAGTACTTTGTAATCAGGGGAATTAAAGTAGACATTTCAGTTTTTGTGTGTGTCGTCTTCAGCAGGTTGATGATTAGCTGTTGCCACTCCTCTAGGTGTTCAGCTACTTTATGATAAAGTAGGCATAGTGAAGGCTCTTAGGGATCAAGTGAACAGTGAAACAGAACATCCATATCTGAAGAGACTGATTCAGTTTAAAATGAGTTGAGGGTCTGGTACATTTTTTTACCTGCAGGAGAAAAAACAGGATGCAGCTGGAACCGTCAGTATGGAAATATGTCATCGACCAGTGTAATGATCTCACTAAATAAACCCAAACTGTATATTATACAGACTAAGAACTGTCAACTTAATAGATAACATGTAGCTAAGATGCTTGTCAACTTGTTAAATAAATAGATTATAAAAAGTTGCTGCAGAATAGTTTGGCTTTAATTTTTTTTAATGGTAAAGCTGGAAAGACTATAATTTGTTTCTAGGTTTTGGTGGCAAAATGTATAGAAATAAAACAGAATACTTATTGTTCAGAAAAAGAAAAAAAGAAATGCATAGTTATCGGATATCAAATTCTTAATAGTTTGTAAATAAAATATACTCGGGTATGTGAAAAACAGACTCAAATGTTTACCATGTCCAGTGAAAATATGGGCATGAATTGCGTGGGTTTTTGTAATCGTTACACCACTGTGATCAGTTGTGTTTAGACCACATTTGTGAGCATAGCTCATGATGTGTGGTTGAGAAAGCAAAAGATTTTAAAGTGAACATTATACACTGCTTACACAAGTGAAACCCTTTAAAAGGATAACGCTACACCAAAACATTAAGTTAATTTTCAAGAAGTCATAAATCGCGTCTCTATCGATAACTTTAAAGAATAAAACTATTGGCTGATTGCAAGCAGGAGAAAGTCAAATTCAGGTTGCCAAGCATCCAAACGTGCATCATAGTAGCATCTTGACTTTGGCACTGGTTCCAAGCCACTGGTTCAGTTGAAGACCGACATCGCAGTGGATGACGTAGAGTGACAATAGCAGTGGAGAATTGCTTTATCCAGCTTTGCTACTTCAGAGACAGGTTTACAACAGTTTCCTCAACTGCACAGGCATTACCTCCAGGACGTCGTGTTTCTGATTAAACTGTTCAGAACAGACTGCATGACGTTGGACTTTGGGCATGGCAGCCATACTGGGAACCTGTCTTGTGCTTTGTAATGTTGTGAATTCCCGGGGAAATCCCAGAGAGTTCCCGATGGGGAGGACAAGGTCAGAAGACCAGTGATATAAGATAAAAACGAGATAAGTGGGTATCCCATGGTGATACGAATTGGGGATACAAGAAAAGTGTGAGACTGGAATGGAAGACGTGAGCCGATAGAGGGTAGTAAGACAGTTGAAGTTCGGACCTCGTTGTGAGAGGTCGTATGTGAGAGAACGCGTGAGAGAATGGAAAAATATTTAACACGTGTAATTGTTTGAGAGAAGATCTGAATATTTCCTGATTGCCAGTTTCAACATGTACTAATACCAGGTACAAGGCTTTAGTAGGAGATGGATGTGTAATTTGAGAGATATGAATGGATCAAAGCAGTGTGCAAGAGAATTGGCCAGGCTGTCAGAAATCAGCCAGGCATAACAACCCGAGGATGAAAGAATGCGCTGTCAGTGATATGTTTGATTCAGCAAATAAAGGTCTATAACTGAACATTCATTTCTGGTGTGTCATAGCAACTAAGTGTCGTCAATACAGCAATGGGGCGTGTAGAAACAAACCCCTAGCAGAGCACATTGCATGCGTCACCACCACCAAAATTCTTTGAGCCAACCAGAATCATCCCTGAGTAGGTGACAATCAATGGAGATGTGTCTGGTTCATTGTCGAAACTTTTTTTTCCAGTGTCATGATAGACACCGTAGGGTCTACAGTAGGTAAAATGAACATTTACCCCAAAATTATGTTGATGAAGCTCTGATGCATGGTAGTGGAGGTGTAATGGTGTGAGGAATGATCAGTTACATCTTAACGAGTCAATTAGTGCACATTGAAGGAAGCTTGAATGTACAACAATCATTTAGGAAAACATTTGCTCATCATACACACAGTTCATAGGAATGGTGTGTCCTGTCATTATCCTTCTTCTCAGATTATGCACAGGTATGGGTAAAATATCTACAGAAGAATAATAAAAAATAATACTGATTTCAAATTTTGAACTGTGTTGAGAGGCAGAAGTGCACGGAGGTTCACAGCAAAGGGAATGAACAGCTCCTAATGCAGAAAAGCCTTTCATAAGATACGACATCATCTGGTTTGAGAATGGAAGTAGAGGCAGTCACTACAACCTTTGGTTAGCTTTAGAACCAGCTGCACACACATGTTGTGATTGTAACTAACTCACAAAGCATGCTGACAAAGATGGAGCCAAGTATGCTTTGTGAGTAGTGGCTAGCATTGCTTCAGAAGTCCAGGATAATTAGCATCGTTTATATATTTTCTTTGGCATATGCAAATATGTAGGAAAATTAACAGGCAGACAGACTGACTGGTTCTGCACCCTTCAGTGGTAAATTGATGCAAAGCAAGTAAGATGTTGTCAAGGTCCTTTTGAAACAAGTAAACAGTGTGAAAGCACAGTTAGATCATCATGGACTGAAGAGAATGGTGGTTCAGTCAGTGATCAGGGGATCTAGTTGACAGAAGAAAGGCAAGATGGACATTCAAGCAGACTGCTGTTGGTACCATCAGAGTTGCTGAAGATTAGATAGAGCATTTTTTAGAATTTCCTGAAAGTTGTCATGCCGATTCTTTAACTACAGTAATTTTGAACAATGTGACCATAAATGGTGAGGACACAGTGTATTGTACAGCTGATTGCCTGGCCCAGTCCACTGTATCTCAAGTGCATACTGCAAAATCTACTTCAGTATGTACTGTGGCAGAAAAATTATTATTTTCAACTGAAATACCCATATCTGCTACTGCTGCGTTTAACCTTTAGAGGATGATTGATCTGTTATGTTGTGGATTACAGCTTGGCTGCAAAATATGTGCCTTTGATTCCAAGATATTTGATTTCAGAAAACTTTTAATTAGTAATCTTTTGCAACATGCTTGTTTTTTTTTATTGGGGGGGGGGGGGGGGGGGGGGAGGGGGGGGTCACTGTATGTCATACCAAGATACATTAGTCTTTAGTTTTAAGCTCGTTATTTTATTTTTTAACACGTAACTTTTTTTCATCATCTTTCTTATTCTCTCTCTCTCTCTTTCTCTCTCTCTCTCTCTCTCTCTCTCTCTCTCTCTCTCTCTCTCTCTCTCTCTCTCTCTCTCTCTCTCTCTCTCTCTCTCTCTCTCTCTCTCTCTCTGTATTTGTGTGTAGATGGGTGGGTGAATGTGTTTGTCTGTCTGTCTCTCTCTCCCCTCCACCACCTCTCTTGTTCTCTAGTCTCCATCCCTCTTTCACTCTCTTTTTCTCTGTGTGTTTTCTACTAAGTCTCTTTTCTTTCCTCTTCTTCTCACTGTGTCTCTTTCTATTTCTCTGTATCCCTTCCCACTTGCACACAGAAAGACATGCAATGCTCTGTTTTACTGGTAACTAACCATCTTAACTGACTGACTGACTGGACAGATCCCTGCCTACAGAAGCCATCAGTGGGCTGGACGTATTGAGATCTCCAACACTGCACCAGAAATAGGCACACTGAGATTTAAGAGTGAAGAGAATGGGAACCCAGTTTATATGGTTTGGCTTTTGTTGGTTTGAAGTCTTTGTTATTATCATTAACCCTTCTATTAATTGGTTTATGTTTTCGCAAGTTAATTAGCTCCCTGTCTCAGATTGATGGGGCATGCACAGACACACAGGAACATTAAGCTAAAGAAGTGTAACTTGTGCTAATGTTAATGCAGATGGTGGTGCCAGTGAATGGAGAATGACTGAAATTAGTTGTTAGTTTTCATGATGAAAATATAAGAGGTGCCTCCTTGAATAGGCTAAAATTTAGTCAAGCAGTTGGAATTATGCACATTGATTCCAGGGATGTTAATTAGATTTGATACACAGAGTTCACACTTTGTACACCTGGAGCAATGCCATGCATGATATTTTGTACGCTAAATTTTGCCTTTAAAGTCCCAACTTAAATTCACGTTAGTTAAATTGCCATTTCTCATTTCACTTTTACATATTTACTTGCACTAACAATACATGCAAATAAAAGCCACAGCAACCTAGCAACACTGGACAGCAGGTTGCTTAAGTACCCTAGGGTGCCCTTGTGTTACTGTTTTATATAATTGAACAAGGTTTCAGGGATTATTGTCTGTCTGTTTTGCATCTGAATAGTGACTTTTTGAGTCACTGGATGTCAGTATTTTAGGCTACTATCCCAGAAATCTCAGAATAATTAAAAACATTTACTGGACCCAAGTAGCAGCAATGAAAGTGGGAAACAGATTGGGTACTTTTGAACAGATAAAACACGAGTAAGACAGGGATGTGTCTTATCCCTATACCTTTTCTCTCTATATAGTGAAATAATTTTGAGGAACGCAGAGAACGCAGGAGTAAGAGTTGGAGGATACAATATAAACAATTTGCGTTATGCAGACGATACAGTTTTGATTGCTGAAAATGCAACTAATTTAACATATTTGCTGGATATTGCAAGGATAGAGAGTGCTAAAAAAGGACATTTAATATTATGAAAACAGAAGTAATGGTTATATCAAAGAAGAAGTTCAATTGAAGGAAAAAGACTTAACCATGTCAATAAATTCAAATATCTGGGAACAGTCATAGAAAATGTGTGACAGAGATTAAAAGCTGCATTTCAGAAAATGACAAATATGCAACAAATCGCTCTTATTTAATGTCAGAAAGAGGGCGCTAAAATATTACATAGAACCTACTCTGCTGTATGGCAGCAAATCTTGGAATATCAGTGAACAAATTAGGAAGAATTTGGAAGCAACAGAGATGTGGTTTCTAAGAGGAATATTACAAATACCTTGGACAGCCAGAGTAACTAACAATGATTGCTTGAAAGAAGCTTATGAACGTAGATCTCTACATATAACAAAAAGAAAGAGACAAACACTGTTCTTTGGCCACATGATAAGAAGAGAGACATTGGAGAACATCGTGACAACTGGAAAGATCAGTGGAAAAAGGGGTAGAGGCAGACCAACAGAGATTATGTTGGATGGGCTGAAAAGATGGCATGGATGAATATCATCAAGAGAGCTGTTCCAATCAACCAGGGATCGTGATCTGTGGAGACGCATGAGCGCCTATGCCACTTGGCAGGGCACATGTTGATGATGATCCCAGAGTAGAAAATTAAAGGGGGAGGGGGCAGAGATCTCTATACACTGCTGTTGAAGCCCACTAGGCACCCTGAGCTATTCCTTCCCAGCGAAGTCAAGTGTGAATGGTCACTATTCAGATCAGTATCCCCCAGGTACAGATTTCAGAAACCCCATTCAGTCGTTTGATTATATTGGAGTCCCACCATTTACAAAGTTACCAGACATCCAGGCTGGGTAAGATATGTGAGCACAGTGCATATTTACACTATACCAAAATGTAGCTTAACACATAATTGGACAGTTAAAATGAACAACACTTTTTTGTTTAGCTTGTAGTCAAAATTCTGCAAGCAGGTATAGTTAGTTAACTGTTAATATTTTCCTTGATGAGGAAGCTGACACATTTTTAGACCCAAAAAATGATGAATATGATCTTAATCTGGTTTCTATACACATGTCTTGTTTATACCACTGGAAATTGGTATATTTGTGTAAGTAAAGTAAGGCCATTCCCCCCATTTTGAGACATATTAGTTATAAGGTTCTAGACCTGTATTTTTATTACTATACCAGCAGTCAGTGGGTGTTGTAGTCAGTTGATACCAGCTGCCTTTACTTCCCAGTCATTGACATACCAGCTGCCTTTACTTCCCAGTCATTGACATACCAGCTGCCTCTACTTCCCAGTCATTGACATACCATTTGCCTTTACCTCCCAGTCATTGACATACCATTTGCCTTTACTTCCCAGTCATTGACATACCATTTGCCTTTACTTCCCAGTCATTGACATACCAGCTGCCTTTACTTCCCAGTCATTGACATACTATTTGCCTTTACTTCCCAGTCATTGACATACCAGCTGCCTTTACTTCCCAGTCATTGACATACCATTTGCCTTTACTTCCCAGTCATTGACATACCAGCTGCCTTTACTTCCTAGTCATTTACATACCAGCTGCCTTTACTTCCCAGTCATTGACATACCAGCTGCCTTTACTTCCCAGTCATTGACATACCAGCAATCAGTTGGTCATGTGATCAGTTGATACCTGCTGCCTTTACTTCCCAGTCATTGACATACCAGCAATCAGTTGGTCATGTGATCGGTTGATACCTGCTGCCTTTACTTTCTACAATATCTGCTGCTGCTCTGCTGCTTGTGTCGGACTGGGACCATCTTTAAAAAAAAAATTTTTATATTGATTAATTCTGTAAGTAAAGGACCCTTTCACACCATCAACACATCTGGCATCTGGTGACAGACCATTCCCTTATAAATCAGCTGACACTCACTTGGTGATTAAGTCAACATCCTGCCGGCTATCATTACTTCTCAGAGTATTTCCTGGTACCAGTTTTGAGTTGGGTCAATATGGGAGTCATAAGTCAAATATAAAATTTGTCACACTGCCCTCAAGACTTCTGGACTTCAGGCAAGCTTAGAAATATGTATACTGAATCAATGATGTATGCCTCAGTTGTCTTGAATCTATAGATTTTCAAGACAGCAGAAAATGTGTTATTTTTTCAAGGCTTGATCTAAAAGCCGCAAGTTTGTACTAACTTTGTGTTTTGTTGTTGTTGTATTTTTCCATAATAGTTCTTGGGTCTGCACTGCAAAGCCAATGAGGGTAGCCTGGATATAACAGTATACAGTCCTTACTGGATTGTCAACCTAACCAACCAAGATTTGACTCTCAAGGTTGCAACCAGATTTTCATTGCCAGTTGTACACATCAGACAAACACCACCTTCATGTCTGTCACTGACTTCATGCCTGTCCACAGACTTATCTATACAGACACATCAAATATCCTTGTTGTGTTTCAGTTTGTGAATATAATTCAACAGAAAGTAAAGTAGCACCCCAAAAAAAAAAAATTTCTTGAGGGTGTGTTGAGGCTATTCATGTACTTTATCTGACCACTTAATACTGATGGCTGATGTGACACCCAGTTGTGGCACTCATTTTAATCTGAGTCAGCTTAGGAGTCCAGGTTAATTAATCAAATACCACCTCCATGATGTAGATTTGAACATAACAGTCAACAGTCTGCCAGGCCAGTATACTGATGAAATATCTTTTTTTTTAAACCATATAAACAATCAATATACAACATTTATAGCCATTGACCCCTTCAGTGGCAGACATGTGTTACTTTAACTGTTATATCTAAAAAAAGTCCTTAAGAAAGAGAATAGGGGCTTTTGAGCTGAAAGGCTATAGAAAAATTTTCAGAATATCTTGGACAAAGATGAGGAGAAATATTGACATCTTAAAAGATCTGAACATCAAGGAAGATTGGCTAATAAACAGCATCCTTTCTCTGAAGCTGAAATAATTTGGTCATATCAAGTGCCATGACGGTTTGGAAAAGAAGGCATGGTACCAGGAGGGAAGGGCAGGGGCCGACCGACACAAAGATGGGCACAGGATATAAGTGACTCCTTGGGTATGAAAGTACATGAGGCGGGAGAACTGGCAAGAGACTAGTTTCTGTCAGGCAGACCATGATAATAGCGATGTTCTGCAAAGGACCTGCTACATGATGATGAGTATAACTGGGAGCAGGGTAGAGTAGGTTAATGTACCATAACTCTTGAGGGCAGGGCATGATGGTTAATGTACCCTAACTCTGGGGGCAGGGCAGGGTAATGTACCCTAACTCTGGGGGCAGGGCAGATTAATGTACCCTAACTCTGGGGGCAGGGCAGGGTAATGTACCCTAACTCTGGGGGCAGGGCAGATTAATGTACCATAACTTTGGGGGCGGGGCTGTGCAGGTTGATGTTCCACAACTCTGGGGGCAGGGCAGGGCAGGGCGGGTTAATGTACCCTAACTCTAGGGGTAGAGCAGGGTAAGTTAATGTTCTATAACTCGGGGGAGAGGGGGGGGGGGAAGGTTAATGTACCATAACTGTGGGGGAAGTGCAGGGTAGGTTAATGTACCATAACTCTGGGAGCAGGGCAGGGCAAGTTAATGTACCATAACTCTGGGGTCAGGGCTGGGCAGATTAATGTACCCTAACTCTGGGGGCAGGGCAAGTAAATGTATCATAACTCTGGGAGCAGGGCAAGTAAATTTATCATAACTCTGTGGGTAGGGCTGGGCAAATTGATGTACCCTAACTCTGGGGAAAGAGCAGGTTAATGTACCATAACTCTGAGGGAAGAGCAGGTTACAAGGAGTTGAGTAAAGGATTTCATATGTTAGTGGAATTTTTATTACTGACAGTTAAATACTATGGATACAAAACAAATGGCTGTTCAGAGGTAGAAATGTGAATACATTGTGTCATGAAGCTAACTGTAGCTAAACTCATAGACTCTCTTTACTGGCCCTTTCTACTACTTTTTAGGATTGTGTAGGGGAAAAAAGGGGGGGGGGGGGGTGTCTTGAGAATTTAGGGCCACATGGCTATTCAAAGACTGTAGATATTTTATTTACAGATTAATAAAAACGTGCCACTGAATAACTACACATATCTTTTTTTTTTAATAGTACAGCATAGAGGATGTTTGCTGTCACCTTCTGAGATAATAAGGTCAAAATAGCAGCTAGCACAAGTAGTTTATACCAACACCTGTCCTAAATAGAAAGGTTTAAAGTACAAACTACTTAAGTTATCTATGCTAACACCTGTCTGGTATAATGATCTGAAGTAGCAAATAACATAAGTAATTTGTGTTAATGCCTGTTAGGGACTGGAGCTCTCAGCACATTAAACATTTGTCTAAACTATAGTTTAAAGACTTAATAATGGCTTCTTTCAAGGCAGCCAAGCCTGATAGTGATTTCTTTCATAACCACCTAACTAGTGACCTTTTCCCTCTCTGGTCTTTTGATCTGGCTTGCTAAATCTAATGGTCATTTTTTTGGTGTTTCTTTGAAGACTAAATAGTGGCTGTTTTATAGAATACCATCTGTGGTGGCTTCTTTTCAAAGTCAGTGGTGAGTTCTTTCAAGGTAGCAAATTCCTGAGTGCATACTTTGATGAAATGCACACAAATAGGATGTAGATTTGCAAGACAACATTTTCACCCATCGTTTTCAACAAGTGAGAAATCAGAATAAACAGCATATGTTTTGAGAAAAAGAGAACTAGTATGTTATGTTTAACCAGTGCTGATGTATGGCTCGAATTGATTCAAAATATCAAGGATCAAGATCAATGATACACACATCAGGAGAAGTAATCGATTCGCCCACATTAAACGAACTATTATTTGCTCACGACCAGTGCTCTTTCTACCCTGATGAACATAGACTGCAAGACCACATTAACAGGTTAAACTCAGCATGTAGTAAAATGTAAACAAAACCGAAACAATGCAAGTTAGTAGAACCCCTGCCCCACTACACATACAGCTCAATGGCTCTGTCCTGAATCAAGTTAGGGAGTTTGCATATCTAGGAAGTATGATCACAGAAGATGGTAAAATTGACAGAGAAATAGAAACCAGATGTCAGAAAGCAAGTGCACTTATATACCAATTATCACCATTATTTAGACATCCAAGCATAACTATGAGTGCAAAGAGACAGATTGTTAATAGCATATTCATTCCAACATTAAGCTACCAGTGCCAAACATGGACACTATCTAAAGCCCATATACGCAAAATTACCACCTGCATGATAAGGTGCCTGAGAAAAGCTGCCAACCTAACCATACGAGATTGAGTGAATAATGAAACTGCAAATTGTGGGAACGACACCTTGTACTAGATTCACAGAGAAACGGCAGATCAAGTGGTTTAGCCATCTCGTTAGAATGCAGCAAGATCAAATACCATCACAAGCACTACATCTCAGAAGATCAGTTACAAGAGCAAGAGGACGGCCGCGGAAAACATGGATCGACAACATTAAAGACACTCTAGGCCTTCACGGCATGACAATAGCCAGTGGCAGCCAACGTGCACTGGATAGCAAATTATTACTCCCCACGATGCTTAACAGCAGAAGTGGTTTATGATGATGATGAAGATCAGTGATGATGATAAGCAGATGTTTTGTTCAACCCTGCTTGTTTGAGTTTATATATAATAATAATAGTTAATCTGCAAAAGTTCTTCACTGTTCGCTTTCAAACTTTCACACAACGTTGAATTCATCTGCCCGCTTGTTTTTATGTAAGAGTGTTGCACGAACCATGAACTACATATCTAGAGCAAAAATCACATCGGGTTTAGTTTCGTTGCTGGCCTGGAATTGTTTTTAGTTTTGCTAAAGGGTGATCTTTGACTGTTGACCTCTGACCCCTGCATGAAGCTACACCCAAAGGTCTTCACTGAACTTTAAAAATTTCATATAACGGCATTCAAATACGCGTGCGTTTTTTTTATATAAGAGTGTTGCACAAGGCATGAACTACATAGCTACAGCGATGATCACATCGGCATCTTGGTTTTGTGTTCCGACGATCTGATTTATTTTTCTTCTTTGCCGTGTTCATGACGCAAGTTGTTATTTACGCTGATAGGCGACCTTTGACTTTTGACCTAAATCTGCGTTAAGTTGTTCGTTATAATATCGAAGAGTTGTTGACAGAGAGTATTCTGTGGAAATGTTAAAATGTGGGTATTTCTTGGGTGAGGGAAAGAGAAGTAATCAGTGCATTTGGGAGGAAGAGGGTGGAAAAAGGGGGGGGGGGGTGATGACAGAAGTTGTTAACTGAGAGAGCTTACAGTTTATTTTAGTCTGGGTGGTCACAGATGCCAAGGTCAATTAATCCTTTGGAGAGGGAGAGAGGAGTAATCGTTGGATGGAGGGGGGGGGGGGTGAGAGGAATGACAGTCACTGTTAACTAAGAGAGCTTAAAACGTGATTTTAATGGAGCTTAAAATAAGATTATAAAATTCTCATTTAAAAAAATTATTTATATTTAAATAACGCTTTTTCTGCTGTTTTCATGTTTTTTTGTTTGTTTTATTTTTGCAAGTCTGTCGGTCATTTAGAAATACAGTAATAAGCTTTACTTTAAGCTGTTAAAAAAACTTAAGCATGTGGTACACATACAAAAAACCTATTTTTTTCAAGTCCTAATAATACAATTTAAGCCATCACTACTATAATGACACATTTTTAAAAAAAAAGTTATAGTTGAATGAAAACAAAGGTTACCTCAATTCATAAAATTCATTGATATTAAATCATTATGACCAGTTGTATATCAGTAGAAATGTTTTTTGTTTTTAATTTTTATTATTTTAACCCAGACCATGGGTTGTATCATCATTTATAACATTCTGCTGTCTTTATTTCCTACCTCAGAGTGCAGTTAGCTATTGCATGAACTGTCCTGCCTTTTTTCCATGCACAGGAGAATGATAAAGAAATCTTGTTTCATCACACAAAAGATGACAAGGAAGTCATGCTTTTTTACTTCCAAGAGACACATGAAGTCACTGATGGGACCTCTGAAAAGGTAGGGAATGACTGATACATAAATATTATTCAGTAGGGACTGACTGATTTATAAATAATATTCAATAGTTACTGACTGATTCATAACTATTATTCAGTCTGAACTGACTGATTCATCCAAAATATCCAATGTGGACTGAATAAATATTATTAAACTATATTAATTACTGTAAGACATTCTTTTTCTTCTTTTTCAGCATTCTGAACCCTTGAGGTTCATTGCTGCAGATACCACCCGCCTCCATTCATCTCTCTGGTTGGCCTTCTCCTTCCAATTGGTGACACCAAGTGTTTGCAGATCTTTCTGGACATTTTCTGGATATAATCTCCATCATCTTCTTGGTCTGCCTCGTGTTCTATGGTCAATTATCTCCCTTGTGTAAACAGTTTTTATTTCTCTGTCATCTGACATTCTTTCAATATGCCCCAACCATTTCAGTCTATTAGCTCTCATGATGCCAGTGATCAGTGGTGATTTAAACAGACTATGAATTTTGTTGTTGCTTCTCACTCTCCATTCCCCACTGATTGCACATTTGATGGGTCCAAAGATTCATCATAAGACTGTTTGCAAAAACCTTTAATAAGCTTTCATCTCTTTTAGATGTGCTCCAGGTTTCAGAGCCATATAAAATAACTGGTCTTATCAACGTTTGATGTGATTTGATCTTGGTGTTGTGAGACAGACATTTGACTTTAGCAGATGTTGAAGGGCATAGTATACTTTATTTCCAGATTGTATTCTAAATTGTATTTCTTCTCTCAGCATGTTGGAGCAGTTGAAATTTGCACCCAAGTACTTATATGTTTCCATTCGTTTGATTTTCGTATTATTGACTTGTATGTGGCCAGAATTTATATCCATCCCTGTCTAGTTATTAACATGTATTTTGTTTTATTTTGATTGATAACTAGTACTATTTTCTGAGCTGATTCTTTTAAGAGAGTCAATGTTTTAGCAGTCTCTAGTTCATTTTCTGCAACTATATCAATGTCATTTGCATATCCAAGTATTCTTGTAGATTCTCCTATATCATACTCTTATTTTAATTTCTTTATCATTTTCTCCAGGGCCAAGTTAAAAAAAAGTGGGGACAGAGCGTCACCTTGCTTCAGTAAAAAATAATGTGTCATTTTTTTTAGGTGACCAAAAATATTAGTGAGATGTAGAGAGGTGAGCGATAGGCAGACTAGAGATTGTAACCATTTCAACTAGCAAAAAAGACATGCAAATAGAACAATAAAGAAAGCAAAGCAGAATGACCAGGAGAAATACTGAGAAATGCTCACCAAAGAAACTAGGAGGACAGAACTTCAGATTTCTACGAACGGGTTCAGTTAATGAGAACCAGATTAGATCCCTTTGATCCAACTTAAATAATCAAAGTGACAACGGAGAACCAATAATAAAACAGAAAACAAATTCTAATTAGATGGAGACAGTACTTGACACAACTTGGCAATATGCCATCCGAGGCCACAGAAACACCAGACATCACAGTGGACAACACCACTGTGGAACTAAAACCTGACATACTGAAAGAAGAGATCAGAGAAGCTACCAAAGTTGCCCCAAGAAATAAAGCCCTAGGACTAGAAATACCAAATCAACTCATTAAAGCAGCAAATGAAGTGGGAGTTGCATGTCTGCACAGGCTTCTTAAAAATGTTTGGGCAAAACAACAGAAACCACAAGACTAGGGAAATTGCACAATCATCCCAGTATGGGGAAACAAGGGCAATAAAAAAGATTTCACACAGAACAGAGGTATCTCCCTTTTGAGTCATACCAGGAAAATATTCTTCACAATTCTTGAGAAAAGACTATAATCTATAATCAACCCCAGCTAAGTGAAACAAACCTAGGATTTAGGAAAAACATCGAATATAAAGATGCCACCATCTTATTTAAAAAAACAAAAAAAATCAATTGAATTTAGCACAAAAAAACACTTTAGACCAAGAAAAGGCATTTGATAGAGTAGATAGACAAAAACTTTAAAAAACTTGAAAATTTTGGTGTCAAAAAATCTGATAAATAGATGTTGAAGCTTATGTAACAACAGTAAATATACTGTTAGAACAAATAGAGGCACTCAGAACTATTGACTATAAAATGTGTAGTTCAGCAGGGCTGTGTCTTGTCTCCCTTACTATTCATAACTGACACCCATAACATCTGTAGGAAACCAACCAGATAAGGACTCTAATACACCAAGGAGAAGAAGGCAACCAGGTGGGATTTAAATTTAAAGGGACAGAAAAAAAGGGGATATTAAAGGAGAGAGAGAGAGACAGATGAAAATAAAAAAAGTAAAAGGATAGATGAGAAGATAAAAGGTTCTCCTGTGTGAGGAGTTTAGTAAGAGTCTACACCATAGTAATGTAATAGTCTGTGGATGTATAAAATAGAGTTATGTAGTGTCAACACAGGCATAGTAGTATAAAAACTAAAAAGGTAAAGTCGGGAGATGTGAACCAGCATCATTGCGCAGGCTTATAAACCATAAGTGCTCTGCCACCAGTACGGACAGCTGATAAGTTGAGCTGTAAAGAACAGAAATTCACTTAGTCACTGACCATTTCTTGGGAAACAACTAAATTTTGTATTCTAAAATAATGAGTTAGATCTGAATCTTATGGTCCAGAAATATGTATTTTTTGCTTTGTAGTTTTGTCTCTGTATGATACAGTTTGTCAATGATTACAGGCTGCAGAAGAGAAAACCCCAAGATGTGCTGGATGCATGCAGCGTGCCAAGAAAACTTTCAAAACTAAAAAACGAGTACATGCTATTTTGCAACTTTGAAAAATTGTTTGCTTTTTATTTTTTTATTTTGTTGAAATAGTGTTTTAAAAAAGTGACAGTTTTTTTTAATTGTGAAGCTAAATAAGTGCCTTACATATATTGACTATAAGTAGGAGCTGTGTGGATGGTGTCCCCCTCGAGTGCTAGAGGTGCAGGGTTCAATCCCTGGTAATGGCTGAGATTTTTCATGTGGACTTTGACTTCTAGTAATTCCGGCTGGTCTCTTGGTAGTGAGCTTAGAAGCCCATCAGCATTGTTGCACACGTAAAACATCCCTTGGCAGCTGGAAATCGACAAGAATAGCTTAATGGTGCTGCCTGGCAAAAATTTGAAGTTAAAAATCTACTCAAATTATTTCAGGATCCTCGCTGGTGCTACAGAGCTTGTGCACTGTGCTGAGCTTCTTTGGACTCAGACTTGAGTTAGAAGAAGAACAGAGCACTTATGGATTACTACCTGTGTGCCATGATCTGAAAACAAATGCCTGAGAGAATGTTTGGGCAACCAAAATTATAAACAGTTACAAAGTGGAGAAGATGTCACTTTATCGTACACATTCTGAGAAAAGACAAATAGAAAATCGTCAAACAGGTACTGAAATTTAGGATAGAGAGACTAAGGAAGCAATGACATCTAAGGAGAACCTAAGCTGAACTGAAAGAAACCAGAGGTGCCCGACTGGATTCTATCCATGATATTAAACTGACTGAATAGAGTGGAATAGAAGAGTAGACTGTGAGACGTATTACAGGATAATGAATGAAAAAATCAGAAAATCTGTCTTTAATATATGTTCTCTTCCCATGTGGGTTCCATAGCCCTATTTTAGGAGAAACAAGAATAGAGCCACTGCTCCTTGGAAGTGGTAATATTCTTTCATACACTTGAGTTAGAGAGACAGATGCTGGAGTTTGACAGGAAACTTCTAGTTTTATATGTCTTTTCTCTTTCATACACTTGAGTTAGGGAGGCAGATGCTGGAGTCTTACATGACATGTGACGTGACATTTCTCTTTCATACACTTGAGTTAGGGAGACAGTTGCTAGAGTCTGACATGACATTTCTCTTTCATACACTTGAGTTAGGGAGACAGTTGCTAGTGTCTGACATGACATTTCTCTTTCATACACTTGAGTTAGGGAGACAGTTGCTAGAGACTGACGTGACATTTCTCTTTCATACATTTGAGTTAGGGAGACAGATGCTTGAGTCTGACGGGACATTTCTCTTTCGTACACTTGAGTTAGGGAGACAGTTGCCCTGAGTCTGACGTGACATTTCTCTTTCATACACTTGAGTTAGGGAGACAGATGCTGGAGTCTGACATGACATTTCTCTTTCATACACTTGAGTTAGGGAGACAGTTGCTTGAGTCTGACGTGACATTTCTCTTTCATACACTTGAGTTAGGGAGACAGTTGCCCTGAGACTGACGTGACATTTCTCTTTCATACACTTGAGTTAGGGAGTCATGTAGTCTGACATGACATGTGACTGACATTTCTTTTTCATACACTTCAGGTGTCCCTCAAAATTGCAAGTGCTCAGTGGTCTGATAAGTTCTCATTGGATACTGTAGGTAGCCATGGAAACATTTCATGTGTGAACAACACCAAAGGACACAAATTACAGGTAATTTGCTTTTCTTGTGTTTACATCGGATTGCCTGAATTTTGAAACTATAATCAAGAGCTATCCTGGTGTAGTAGATAGCACTATGATTAACCTGCACTGTAATTTAGGTTCAGTCCACACCTGGAAGAAAATTGCTTCCACCAGCTTGCTGCTTGACCGACATCACAGCACTCAGAGACATTGTCACAAGCGCTAGGTACCCATCCTTAGCAGCTAGTACAAAGTTCTATAACCAGTGGTGCTATAATTCGGGGTCCATGTTGCTTTTTGTTTTCTGAGTGTTGGTCAGATCTCCCATAGAGCCTTGACCACATCAAACTTGTCAAATATTATGTCTGCCTATTCATTTTTCAACACACCAACATTTCCTAGAGCAGGGCTATTCTACTGCCGCTTGCAGGCCAAATCTTATCTGTGGAGACCTAGCAAGTGGGACGCAGATCATTGTCAGTTGTATTAATCATTTTTCTGAGCTGGGGCTCCAACCTCTAGTCCGTGACTATCCCCATTTTCAAAATTGTAGCCCTTGAGTAAATTTAGTTGAATTGCCCTGCCCTAGAGAAACAATCCACAGGATGCTATCAGTCTAGTCTCTGAAACAATACTTGCTACTGCATGAAGCATGCTGCCAATCTCCACCTTTTCGGCACACTTTGTGAGTATGTTACAATCATGACATATTTGTACAGCTGATTCTTTAGCAAGCAGAAGGGTGTAGTGACTGGTCCCAGTCTTCATTAGCTGGTGTAGAAAGTACAGTGGAACTTCGCTCAACGAGCATAATTCATTCCAGAATCATACTCATTAAACGAAACACTCGTTATGCGAAACAATTTCAACATATAAATTAATGTAAAATACGATAATGCGTTCCATGTCGAAAAAAATACTCACAAAATGCTATGTATAACGTTTATTCAAAGAAAATTATTTACATATTTAAGGAGAGTGAATAATCTTCAGCTTTTCTTCAAACATGGAATGAACCCACCTGGAATGTGAATTTGATTTGCAGAAAAAAAGTCAAAATAATTATGATACATAGCTAATTATTTTTTTTCACTAGAAAGATGTCCAGAGACATTTGTTTTTGCAGACGCTTCAAAATTTTGCGAAAATGCTACACAGCATTATCATTAAACAAATTTGCAACGTGCATAGCAACTTTCTTATTAGGTTGATGCTTCTCAATGTTAGATGCAACAGTTTGCCATGCTTTCAGCATTTCTCTTATTTCGCCAGAAGATTGTTGCTTTTCTGTTACCTCCTCTCCCCCCTCTGACAAACTTCCCCCCAAAACTTCTTGCTGTGAAATACAACGCAACTCCATAAGCTCTTGGGTGGTCAGCTCTTGGCTGTGCTCTTCCACAAGCTCTTTGATATCACTGTTATCCACCTCCAATCCCATGATAGTGGCCGAAGACACAATCTCGTTGACTACAGGTTCCCCAGGTACTGTGTCAAAATCCTCAAAGTCACAAATCTACAACACTCTCTGGCCAAAGCTTCTTCTAAGCAGAAGTTAGGGTTCTCTTAGTAACCCCTTCCACTGCTTTGTCGATCATCTTGGAAGTGGTTTTTCCAAATCTCTCTGAGTGAGTGTATGGTGTTAAGTTCCCTTCAGTCACCTGAAAACAATGCTCGAAGAGTGCTTTAGTGTAGAGCTTCTTAAAGTTAGAAATAACTTGCTGGTCATGGGCTGGAGTAACGGGATGGTGTTGGGAGGCAGAAACTGGATCTTGATGAACTTAATTCTTCAGAGAGGTCATCTTGTAGGCCTGGAGGATTCATGTACATATATCACTATATAACACAAGTTTGAGAAAATGTGTGATTACAGTCGACACTACGATGCTACTGGAACGAGTGCTAAACACAGACTGATGTAACATGCGCAAAATCCGGGACTTCCCCTCTCCTCGCCACTTGTTATGCGAATCGTCGCTTGTTAAGCAAGTCATTTTTTTCACAATTTGTTTTGCTCGTTATGCAAATTACTCGTTATGCGAGGTTCTCGTTAAGCAAGGTTCTACTGTATTCGCTGGGTAAAAGAATGAAATGTAAAGACTGACGCTGACTGTGCTCTGACTGTTTCAACAGTGATCACCATTTATATATAAATGTTGAAAATGTCAAAATACTCACAGTACAGTAACTAACCTAACCACTACTGAAGGTGTCAACTGGATCATATTTAAAAAAAAAATAATGATTATAAATTACATAAACTTCTGGAAGAAATCTTCAAACATTATCTAAAATAGCAAACGTATATTCTGAAAATAGAGTGGACACAGTGTATCGTAATTAAAGATTAAATAGGATATTACTAATTTGGAAACTACTACTACTAGTTCAGGTAGACATGAATACTTTTGCTCTAATTTCTTCAGGTTGGTGTCAAGATAACCCTAGTATCATCAGGTCTAACCAAAATTGTGACTTTTACACCATTCTACCTGTTGATCAACGCTTCGACCATTCACCTGAGTGTCAGGGAGCACAACATGAATGAATGGATTCATTTATCCCCTGATCAAGTGAGTGTGTGTAGTTCTCTGGAGAACTTCTTTAGCAATTTCTGGTCATGTGCTTAATCCACTATAGGCCATAAACTGGAATGTCAGCTTGAGGTTAGTTAGGTTTCCTTGAAGTTTGATAATCAAGTCTAATGCATGGTTGCATGTTGTTTTGCAGCTGCAGGAGAGGACCATACCATGGTTTACCCTGCCAGTGCAGGAATCCGGCCACAGTAAAGAGTGAACTTGTTTGAGGCATGAGAACCAGGCTGTTACCCATGGTGGTGGAACCTTGGTTACTTAGGTACAGATAAAACTCTATAAGAGCATACAGCAAATGTACCACATTGGCATGTTACTAATCTTCTGCATGCTGGTGTGATGAGCCAGTTTCTTACCAGCCCCTTACATTTCAGACCTGCATTTTAGTCCATAACATAATTTACTGAAACTGCCACAGATTTGAGCTGTCTACTGTTACACCTGCCCATAGGTATCTGTGTTTGACTTACTGTATTTGATGTTTTATTTGTTCTCCTTAAAGACACTAGTGTATTAGACTGAAAACATTGCTGACTCTCTATTGTCTACTACATACATATCTTAGCAAACCATGGCTCACTCTGTATTGTCTACAGCATACATATCCTTGTAATCAATGGCTAACTCTGTATTTTCTACCGCATACATATCCTGGCAATCAATGGCTAACTCTGTATTGTCAACTGCAGAAGTATTCTGGCAATCAATGGCTAACTCTGTATTGTCAACTGCAGAAGTATTCTGGCAATCAATGGCTAACTCTATATTGTCTACCGCACACATATCCTGGCAAACCATGGCTCACTGTGTATTGTCTACTGCATATATATCCTTGTAATCAATAGCTAACTCTGTATTGTCTACCGCATACATATCCTGGCAATCAATGGCTAACTAAATTGTCTGTCGCATACATATCCTGGCAATCAATGGCTAACTCTGTATTGTCTACCGCACACATATCCTGGCAATCAGTGGCTAACTCTGTATTGTCTACCGCACACATATCCTGGCAATCAGTGGCTAACTCTGTATTGTCTATAGCATACATATCCTGGCAATCAATGGCTAACTCTGTATTGTCTACCACATACATATCCTGGCAATCAATAGCTAACTCTGTCTTGTCTACTGCATACATATTTTAGCAAACCATTTCTCACTCTGTAATGTCTACTGCACATATATCCTGACAAACTGAGGCTCACTGTGTAATGTCTGCTGCATATATATCCTGACAAACCGTGGCTAACTCTGTAATGTCTGCTGCATATATATCCTGACAAACTGTGGCTAACTCTGTAATGTCTACTGCACATATATCCTAACAAACTGTGGCTAACTCTGTAATGTCTACTGCACATATATCCTGACAAACTGTGGCTAACTCTGTAATGTCTACTGCATATATATATCCTGACAAACCATTTCTTACTCTGTAATGTCTACTGCATATATATCCTGACAAACTGTGGCTAACTCTGTAATGTCTGCTGCATATATATCCTGACAAACTGTGGCAAACTCTGTAATGTCTGCTGCATATATATCCTGACAAACCGTGGCTAACTCTGTAATGTCTACTGCATATATATCCTGACAAACTGTGGCTAACTCTGTAATGTCTGCTGCATATATATCCTCACAAACCATGGCTCACTCTGTAATGTCTACTGCGTACATATCCTGACAAACCGTGGCTCACTCTGTAATGTCTACTGCATATTTATCCTGACAAACTGTGGCTCACTCTGTATTGTCTACTGCATATATATCCTGACAAACCGTGGCTAACTCTGTAATGTCTACTGCATATATATCCTGAAAAACTGTGGTTCACTCTGTAATGTCTACTGCATACATATCCTGACAAACCATGGCTCACTCTGTAATGTCTACTGCATATATATCCTGACAAACTGTGGCTAACTCTGTAATGTCTACTGCATATATATCCTGACAAACTGTGGCTCACTCTGTATTGTCTGCTGCATATATATCCTGACAAACTGTGGCTCACTCTGTATTGTCTGCTGCATATATATCCTGACAAACTGTGGCTCACTCTGTATTGTCTGCTGCATATATATCCTGACAAACCGTGGCTCACTCTGTAATGTCTGCTGCATATATATCCTGACAAACCGTGGCTCACTCTGTAATGACTACTGCATATATATCCTGACAAACTGTGGCTCACTCTGTAATGTCTACTGCATATATATCCTGACAAACTGTGGCTCACTCTGTAATGTCTACTGCATATTTATCCTGACAAACTGTGGCTAACTCTGTAATGTCTACTGCATATATATCCTGACAAACCGTGGCTCACTCTGTAATGTCTGCTGCACATATATCCTGACAAACTGTGGCTCACTCTGTAATGTCTACTGCATATATATCCTGACAAACCATGGCTCACTCTGTAATGTCTGCTGCACATATATCCTGACAAACTGTGGCTCACTCTGTAATGTCTACTGCATATATATCCTGACAAACCATGGCTCACTCTGTAATGTCTGCTGCACATATATCCTGACAAACCTGATCTTAGCTTTGTGAAAGATAAGAAGTAAATGAATGCATAGACTTCGGCTGATGTGATATTTTGTGACCTTTTCTGGTTGTTTAAAAGTCATAAGGTTGACTCCATTGGACCAATTTTATATCATATGTCTCACTAACTCTCTGCAAGTGGCTTATGACCTGCAAGAGTCAAGCACAAATCACACTCTGTAGCTTTAGCAATAACCCTCAGGGATTCCAAAACACATGCACTGGCAAGCTAAAATAGGAGTCCAAAATTGAATCTAGAACTCCCTGTGTGCCTTCCTGGGCCACATTGTGGGGAAAAATAGATCCACTGCCTCCCCAGCAAGCATGTCACAGAAGTCGACTAATTGGAAACTTCCTTCAAAGTCGGAGTGCACCTTTCTGAGTGGCAAGGAACAACCAACTGCACACAAATAAGTCAGTAAAATGGATGTACACGCAAAACTAAGGCTCTGGTATAAAGCCAGAGTTTAGATAAACAAACAGCCAGGACTTTCTGACAGAGCTTACAGCTGGTGAACAAAGAAGAAGAGGAATCCAGAGCTGTCCTGATTTTGAGGGGTGGGGGAATTAATGGACCTACTGCTTCTAATCTAGCATATTGTAAATAGCAACTAATTCAGGGTTTTCTGAAATCAGATCTGTTAGGCTGAAAGACACATTTATCACAGTCTCACTGTAAATCACAGCAAAGTTAGCCAACCACCCTTTAAGGGTGAATGCAGAAGGAGAAGAGTCGGATACCTCTAAGCAAGTACAAGTAAAGGACAGTTTTGACACCAGTAGCACATGAAGGGCATGTGCTGCTGGACTTATGTTTTTACAGACCAGCAGACAGTCAGTGGGTCATGTGGTCAGTAGACCAGCTGGCACTCAGTGGGTCATGTGGTCAGCAGACCAGCTGGCACTCAGTGGGTCATGTGGTCAGTAGACCAGTTGGCACTCAGTGGGTCATGTGGTCAGTAGACCAGTTGGCACTCAGTGGGTTATGTGGTCAGTAGACCAGCTGGCACTCAGTGGGTCATGTGGTCAGCAGACCAGCTGGCACTCAGTAGGTCATGTGGTCAGTAGACCAGCTGGCACTCAGTGGGTCATGTGGTCAGTAGACCAGCTGGCACTCAGTGGGTCATGTGGTCAGTAGACCAGCTGGCACTCAGTGGGTCATGTGGTCAGTAGACCAGCTGGCACTCAGTGGGTCATGTGGTCAGTATCATACTGGCCACTTTTACTTCTCAGGACCCCAGCTGGTACCCATTCTAAGCTGGATCAAAACAACCTAAAATTATAGAGCTTTAAAACCACTTTTGCAACAAAGACCTCCTTTTCTATTCCCTCTATGCAGAAATGAATATGGTCATCCTGATGAAAATAATATTTCGTTTTCTACAGTGTAAGAGCTTTTACCCCAAGTCTGTGGAGAAGGATATTAAAGTTGTTGCTAAAGTCAAAGAGAGCCTCAATGAGACCGTGCCATTCTTTGTCAACAAAAACCACACCACGTTGCTGAGACTGAATGATAAGGTGGGACATTACATTTAGCTTGTACTTTCCCCCTGTGGGTTCTAGGATCCTGTTTTAGGGGAAAAAGAAGAGACTCCCTGCTTGTTAACAAGCATGCAATAAAGTGCAATTTATTAAGGATTTGCTGAAATTGAATGTGACGAGATTAAAGTCTCAGATATCACAGTCTAACTGTAACAATAGGCCAGCTGCCCTTTGAAAGGTGGATAATGCATAAGAAGAAGAAGAGGAAGTTTGCAGTTTGGCTTCTACATTATTTGGCTGAGTTTGGTTTTGACTTCAAGCTCTCTTTCTTCTTTTACCATTGAGCACATCAAACCGATTCAGATAGAAGTACCCTCATTATAGAAAAGTCTCAATGATATCTTTAAATATTCTAGGGCTTAACATAAAGAGGTATGGTGTTAAGTTCCATTCATCAACTTCTTTAAAACATAGACAGAAATTTAGATTAAATAGTGCCTGTTGTATAGATAAAAAACAAAGCAAATCCTTACCTTTACAGTTCAGGGTAACTACACTAGCCATGCAGCCCTGACCACTACGGTTTATGACCCACCGCTGCAAACAGTGGTGTGTATAGGTAATAGAGACAGCTTTGATTTTACAATAGATTTCAGTACAAGTATGTAGTTAATGTAGAGTTAGTTGACCAGGCAAATGTTGATCTTTGTGTTCACTCAACTGTCAATCTTCTGTTCCCTGTGTCATGGCCAGTTTGTCTTGGAAAATATCATATTGGTCACATGAATGAAAATGGGCAGAGACTACTGGCATTCTGCACTAGAAGTGACTTGTGCATCACAAACATCTTTTTTTTTTTTCAAGACAAAAGACCGCCATAAGGCGTCGTGGATCTGGCCACTGGCACCAGTTGGACCTTATTATAACAAGGAGGCAGCACTTGAACTGTGTGTCACTAACTTGCAGCTACCACAGTGCTGACTGTGATACTGACCATTCCCTAGGTACTACAGGAGTTTGAATGAAACCAAAATAAAATTTTCACTTTAAAAAAAACTGATATATCCACAGGTTAAATATTTCCAAAAGTAAAGATCCTGAAAAGTGTTTTGAGTTCCAACAACAGCTCAAAGATGCTTTCACTGATATCTAGGACAACTCTACAGCAAGCTTAAAATGGGATGCAATTAAGGAGACTGTTCACAAAACAGCTGTATCAGTCTGTGGGATTAGAGAGAACACAAAAGTTAGGACTGGTTTGAAGCAAATAGCCAGACACTCCAACCCTTAATTGACAGCAGAAAGTTAATACTCCTCAGAAACATGGAAATAACAATATGGAACACCCTCAGTTAACTGAGAGAAGCTAGAAATCATTTGTAAAAGGTAGCTACACAGTGTGTCAGTGACTACTGGATCCAGCTATGTGAAAACATTCAAAATGCTAGCAGTGGTGGTATTGTTAGAGGCATGTATGAGGGGATAAAGAAGGCCATAGGTCCTACTATTAAAAAAAAGTGCACCACTAAAGAGTTTAAATAGGGAGATTATAAATGACAAGAAGAAGCAGCTAGATAGATGGGTGGAACATTGATACTAAACTAACAGATGGTGCTCTTAATGCCATGAAGACTCTACCAATTCTTGACTATCTGGGCATATTACCAACAATTGTAGAAGTTAGGAATGTTATTGATAAACTAGCTTAGGGAAAGCCCCCACTCAGAGATGGAATTCCTATTGAGATCATCAGGAATGGGAAAGACATTCTAACCCCAAACATCTGTCAGCTAATATCATAACTGTGTACAAGAACAAGAGATATTGAAGTGACTGCAGTTCCCCGTGTGGGTTCCGGGGCCCTACTATGGGAAAAACAAGAATAGACCCACTGCCTACCCAAAAGCATGTCGTAAGAGTCGACTAATTGGGAGCTTCCTTTGAAGTCGGAGTGCATCTGCCTGAGAGGCAAGGAACCAACAGCCTGCATACAGATCTGTCAAACTGATGCACACGCAACACTCAGGTTCTGGAACAGGACTGCAGTCCAGAAGTGACCGAACAACCAGAACTTTCCACCGGAGTTTACAGCCAGTGAACGCGAAGAAGAAGAAGAAGTGACTGCAGTGACTACAGGGGAATATCACTGCTGTGTACTGTTGGAAAAGTACTTGCGAGAATTGTTCTACGAAGACTCCAGATTCTAGGAGACTGGGTTTACACAGAGTCACAGAGGCTTTCCTGGGAACCGGTCTACCACGGATATGATATTTTCACTACGACAGTTGCAGAAAAAATGCCATGAAGAAAATCAACCACTGTATGTTGATTTTATTGATCCTAACAAGGCATTCGATTTGGTTAGTTGAAAAGGTCTATTCAATGCACTGGAAAATATTTATTGTCCACCTACCCTAAAGAAGCATTATTAAGTCGTTTCACACAGGTATGAAAAGTACAATCAACTTTTAGGGTGTAACATTGGAGGAGTTTGTAATTAAGAATGGAGTGAAGCAGTGGTGTGCACTTGCTCCTGCCCTCTTTGGAATATACTTCTCACTTGTTTTGCAACATGTCTTTTGAGGTCAGCAGGATGGTATATTCATCCATTCTTGATCTGATGGCAGCCTTTACAATGCTCTTAGACTGAAGGCCAATACCAGAATAAGAAAGGTACTTATCAGACAGCTGCTGTTTGCAGATGATGCCGCAATAATCACCCACTCAGAGGAGGAACTGCAACATTTACTGACTGCATTTGCTGATGCGTGCTGTGAATTTGGACTAACAATCTGCATCAAGAAGACAAAGGTTATGGTGACGGGTATTAATGATAGACCAACAGTCTGAATTGATGGTGAAGAGCTGGAGACAGTTGACCATGTTACCTATCTGGGTTCCACAGTGAGTAACAAACTATTGCAGAATCAGGAAATCAATATCAAAACAGGTAACGTAGCAACAACAATGAGTAAATTAACAAAAAAGTTTGGGAGAACAGAAAGCTCATGATTTAAACACAAACTTGTGTCTATCAGACTTGTGTTCTCAGCACTTTGCTTTATGACTGTGAAAATTGGTCAACTTTTTTGCATCAGGAGAGACAGCTAAATAGCATTTACATGTGATTATTAAGAAGAATACTTGGCATTAAGTGGCAGGACAAGATCACAAACACTGAGGTTTTGTAAAGAGCAGTGCTCAGTCTACGGAGGCTCAGGTGGCTGGGTCACACCTGGAGAATGGAGGATAGCAGAGTCCATAAGGACATCCTTTATGGTGAATTAAAGACAGGTAGAAGATGTCAAGGCCGACCTTTACTACGAAATAAAGAAATTTGCAAGTGGGACATGAATGATACAGGTATTGAGATGGACAAGGAACAAAATGCCATGGACCGTGCTGTGTGGATGGGCACATCAGGAGGGGAATGAGATTGAAGGAAGAAACTATTGCAGAAAGGATGAGAGCTGAGCATCTGAGAAGAAACAGACTAAACACAAATTTTGACAACAATGGTCCAAATTGTGGAGGACTTTTCTTAACAAGGGCGGGTCTTGCTAGTCACACTCCCCATCCCCATGCACTGTGGGTACCATGCCTCCTCATAGTGCAATATAATACTGTCATCTGGAAAGACAGCAAGGTGCTTACCACACTTCATATCAAGTATATCTACAACCGCACACACCACAGCGAACATTAAGTGTACCCCACCAGAATTGCAAGTCACTGTCAATGCAAGTAAGCATTCATGAAAGCCAGCATTTGCACATGCAATAGTGCATAAGTATTTGCATTCCTAATCTATTCGGCTGCCCCCATTTTTGGTGCAGTTCACTACAGAAAAACTATTCCACCTTAAATCCACAGCTTACAGTGTCACATCAAGTACTCAGCTCAGTAGCTGGGCAACTGAAAACTTTGCATTTCCTGTCCAGAAATAGAGAAATTGCATCAGCAGAATGTTGCTAGAAACAAGTAACTATTCAGAGCATCAGCAGTCTATCCACCATAGTGGATCAGAACAGAAGTTTCATTTCCATTTATAGTTTACTTTATGATGAACAGTATTGTGCAAAATTATCCCAACAAAAGTTGCCTCAGATTGTTTTACCCCTGAAATAAAGGCAGACTATGAAATTGGCTACATCAGCCACCAAGTGCCGGCTGATTGGTCTATCAAATAAAGGTCCTGCCCTATATTCCCAATATGCCTAAAGGCAGGGAAAAGGGACCGTGACTATTTTTTTAACTGTGAAATTGGCAGAGTGGCAAATGTAAGAACTTCCTTTAGCTGTCAGTTTGGGAAACAAAAGATAATAAAATCTGAATGATTAGCCAGAAGGCAGTAGGTGATGTTGTCATTGTAAGGCTGGCCTTTTACTTGCCAGAACTTTCTCCTCAGGGCTTGGGACTGGCACTGATGGAGATATTTGTAAAATTATGTTGAAAATTATGTACAAATTTTTTATTTATTTATTATAATTCTTGTTGTAAATTATTTTTTTAATTGTAGAGATTATAGAAATAAAAGTGTTTTTTAAGACAATATTATGTGATGTGTGTATTATAAAAATAAGTTATCAGATTAATTCTCTTTTGTATTGTATATTTTAATGAAATACAGTTATAACAAATTGTCATGCAAAAAAAATCCACAGTTTGGTGGTATCAATGCTGAATGTCAAGTCACTGAATCCACAACGATCACCATCTTGAAAACATACAAACCAGGAATGGCCACCGGCCTGTTGGTCAACTGCTTGTCTAAAACTACACTAACAGTCAAACAGCTGTAAGTGGTCTATGTGTGTCTTTTCTCTCACAGCATTGTCATGAGTATCACTTTCTGCAATGTAACAACATCATACAGCTGTAAGTGTTCTGTGTGTGTCTTTTCTCTCTCAGCATTGTCATGAGTATCACTTTCTGCAATGTAACAACATCATACAGCTGTAAGTGTTCTGTGTGTGTCTTTTCTCTCACAGCATTGTCATGAGTATCACTTTCTGCAATGTAACAACATCATACGGCTGTAAGTGTTCTGTGTGTGTCTTTTCTCTCACAGCATTGTCATGAGTATCACTTTCTGCAATGTAACAACATCATACAGCTGTAAGTGTTCTGTGTGTGTCTTTTCTCTCACAGCATTGTCATGAGTATCACTTTCTGCAATGTAACAACATCATACAGCTGTAAGTGTTCTGTGTGTGTCTTTTCTCTCACAGCATTGTCATGAGTATCACTTTCTGCAATGTAACAACATCATACAGCTGTAAGTGTTCTGTGTGTGTCTTTTCTCTCTCAGCATTGTCATGAGTATCACTTTCTGCAATGTAACAACATCATACAGCTGTAAGTGTTCTGTGTGTGTCTTTTCTCTCTCAGCATTGTCATGAGTATCACTTTCTGCAATGTAACAACATCATACAGCTGTAAGTGTTATGTGTGTGTCTTTTCTCTCTCAGCATTGTCATGAGTATCACTTTCTGCAATGTAACAACATCATACAGCTGTAAGTGTTCTGTGTGTGTCTCTTCTCTCTCAGCAGTGTCATGAATATTACTTTCTGTCTAATAGTATCAATTGTGTTGACTGCTGTGGGATGCAATAAGATTAAAAGCTTCTTTAGGATCCTTCAAAAACAAAACAAAAAAATTAAAAACAACTAGCATGCGCACGGCACGCACACACATAGACAGTCAGATGGACTAAGTGAACAGAAATTACAAAATATTCCATTTATGAATAAATAATCTGAAAATTAAAACAAAATAATGACAGAAACCATGAGATGCATGGACTATTTCGCATTCACTTAATCGCTAAATTAAAAAAAAATTGGGCCCTTGAATATCCAGAGAGTATCATGGAGGATGAAAAGAAAAAAATCAATACTGACATTCTTCAGGAACTGACATAGTTTCTGGCTCATATGTTGTATTGCTTCTTGTAAACTTAAATACTTTGGCCATAATAAACACCTGAATGGTTTTAAGAGAACAAGACTGGAGGCTGTGGCTTTTGGAATAAGTAACCTATCAACAAGCATGATGAGTGGACATTGATATCAAAGTTACCATAAGCATAAACATTCACTAGGCATGTGTTCTGCTTGGACCTAGTAATGTTGGAGGCAGCCAGAGGTCCCACTTGTGGGTGGCAAACTTAAAAAACATTCGAGTGCATGATGGAGAAAGAAGACATTCCAGAGCTTGAAGGAGAAAGAAGGCATTCCATGGCTTGATGGAGAAAGAAGGCATTCCTTGGCTTGAAGGAGAAAGAAGGCATTCTAGGGCATGAAGGAGAAAGAAGGCATTTGAGAGCTTAAAGGAGAAAGAAGGCATTTGAGGGCTTGAAGGAGATGGCATTTGAGGGCTTGAAGGAGAAAGAAGGCATTCGAGGGCATAAAGGAGAAAGAAGGCATTTGAGAGCTTAAAGGAGAAAGAAGGCATTTGAGGGCTTGAAGGAGATGGCATTTGAGGGCTTGAAGTAGAAAGAAGGCATTTGAGGGCATGAAGGAGAAAGAAGGCATTTGAGGGCATGAAGGAGAAAGAAGACATTTGAGGGCATGAAGAAGAAAGAAGGCATTCGAGGGCTTGAAGAAGAAAGAAAGCATTTGAGGGCATGAAGGAGAAAGAAGGCATTCGAGGGCATGAAAAAGAAAGAAGACATTCGAGGGCATGAAGGAGAAAGAAAGCATTTGAGGGCATGAAGGAGAAAGAAGGCATTTGAGGGCATGAAGAAGAAAGAAGACATTCGAGGGCATGAAGGAGAAAGAAGGCATTCGAGGGCATGTCCACTGTAGAAAGAAAAAAACTGCTTCAGGCCAGGTCAAGCAGCTGAAGGAACAGTTGTGCAAGTTTCCACCATGGAGACACCAAACATCATTTTATGGATGGTGTAGGGGGGGGGGGGGGGGGAGGGGGAGGAGCAGATGCAATCAACAAAGAAACTAATCAAAGCATCCAAAGCATACAGTCCAGGAGAAAAATATATTTCTGGGTAATTCTAAAGATAATATGATGTTCTTGTTGTCTGTTATCACATACAGAGATAATATATTAACCCTTCGTATTTGAATTACTGGTTTAGTTACTTCTGTCTCATAACCAAGAGGATCGACTTCATTGCAATGGGTTTGATCCCATATGGATCAGTCTCTCTCTGCAAAACGTCTAGCTGCCTGCCAAGAGCATCTGTAGCTCCGGTGACGATCCCTAGTGATCTCCGTAAAAATTGCAGTCATGAACTGAATCAGGGCGCAGCCATGAAGTGAACCCACAACCTTCAGAGGGCAAAGCAAATGGCTTGACTACTCCAGCACAGAGACCCCTTCTGTCCCAAGGTGTCTCTGTTGAACTCTTAGGGTCCTAAAAATATATTGCTTTTAAGCTCAGCTGCTTGTGATTATAACTGGTTGAGACTGAGAGAGTTGACAATTGTGTTGGCAATAACTGTGTCCTATAGCGCAGTGATTGTGTTGTATAATTGGCCTACAGTGGACCATCATCAGAAGTCCATGTTCTAGAGCCCAACACGTCAGAGTTGTACACATGGACTGACCCAACAGTCAAGAGGCAGGTGACCTGGACATGTGGAAACAAAAAAAACATCAGAAGTACCTTGGATCGGGTATGCAGTCTTTGAATCATGTTGTTGTTGTTGATGATTCCTGCTAGTTTACACTCCTTGTGCCTTGCCTTTTCTGTCTGTCTTTAACCTCCACAGGAACCTAAGCTTCCCAACCAACTCATGACTGACTCTTTGTACAGAGGTTCTTGATGGGTTGCATATTGCAGTTAAAGTTTTTTACAAGATGAATTTTATTTTCTTATTTGGTTCACATGGCGGCCCATAAAGTTTATTTGTCATCTTTGTTTCCCAGGCCAAATGGTTTGCTGTATTTTGCAATATTCAGAGAAGAATTGTGAATATCATAAACATGAGGTCATTTAACTTACTTTTTTCTTCACTCTGTAAATACAGAGGTAGTCATCTTGCGCTAGAATTGATACATTTTGAATTGATTTGATCATTTTATTTGTCTTTTGTATATTATTTGCTCATTGTTAGTATGTAACAAATATTCTTGTAAATATTTTTTTCTCCATACTTACTTAAGGCAACTTCAAATAGTACCAGGAATAACTGGATTCTGTTTGAATGACTAAATCTGTATTGGAATTTGATAGTTTGATAGCTGGTGGTCGTCACCTTACAGTGACAGTCCCAAAGTAAACTACCCAGTTATGCTCCAGCCAAAGTGGCAACAGTTTGTTTGTTGTACATGTAGCATCATCAGAGTTGAACATGTACCTGATGAAATAAGATACAAAGCCAGCTACTGTGATCTGCTAGAGAAGACTTCATCAAAGTCATTAAGCCTTCTTTACCAAGCATGTCGTGAAACCATAGGTGAAGAAATGTGTGTGCTTGGGTAGCTCATTTATTCTCATGAAAATAGGGAACAAAGAACTAGTTATTGCTTAACATAAGGGCATGACAATATTCAGGACATGTCAATATATACTCTACATTTGACAACAGATGCAGGGTGTGTGGATACCTGCTATCTCCATTACTCTGATGTGGATATATACCTAACCTGTACAAGCTATCAACATATAGTTCCATTTGTATTTGATTTTCCTTCAGTCCACACATTGTTGTCTTAATACATATTGTATTATTATCTATACATCATTCTTCTGTTGCTTGCACTGTTGTAGATTTAAAAAATGTTATGTTGCCCAATGAAGGTGCTTTAGAAACCAACCAAGTTGCCCTCAAGTTGCATTTCAAAGCAGTCTATTCATACAATTTGTGAAGGTATATCAAACTAATAAAAGGACACTGAAATTACATCTAGTCAATTTTAAGTTTCTGTATATTGAGAAAATCACACAGTATAGTGACTTTGGCATAAATACTGCTTTCAGGCTATCGCAATTCAGCAGTAATTTGCTCCCTTTGCATCCTCATGCTGGATGAGGTGACTAGTGATTAGGTTTGCATGTAATGGCTGTAACCGCTGCCTACACTTTTGATTGTGAAGGATATATTATTTTACTATTTATTATTTCTGTTTGCTATTTATTGAAAACTGTTTAACATCAAAAGTGAAAGCTGTTATACAGAAGAGCCCTAAAAACAAAGCACCTGTGTTGTAGAATAACTGCAGAAGCTATTCAAGCATGTAGTCAAACTGACATAAAATAGCTAACAAGAATTGTCATTACAGTAATCTGGTAATCTGGTAATCCTAGTTTCAGCTTCATAGCAAACGGGTCACCCCACAGTTGCTCCGCTCCTGTGCCAGCGAAAAACAAACGCAGCTCACAGTCATTACAGTATGGGAAGAAAGGATAGTTCCACTTAATTGGCAGCAACATTGATAATACCAGTTTGGAAAAAGAAAGTTAATGCAAGAGACGATGCATCACAGAGGTATATCACTCTTCAGCCACATAGGAAAAATGTATGCAAAGTTATTGGAACCGAGAGTTAGACTTTTAACGGAACAGCACCTAACATATCACAATTTGGTTTCCGGGAAAAAATAGATTGCACAGATGTATTATTTACACTGAGACAAGTTTGCAAGGAAACCATTGAATATGGTGATGAACTGACTATTGTGTTTGTGGGTCAAGAAAAAGCTTTTAATAGAGTACCCTGAAACAAAATATGGGCTATTCTGGAGGATTATGGGATACAAGGACAATTGCTAGATAATATCATGCCCAGGTACCACACTTCCCAAAAGCGCAGTGAGAAACAAAAAGGCATATCTGATATGTTTACAATCAGTACAGGAGTGAGGCAGGAATGTGTGCTCTCTCCTCCCTTATTTACTGTATACACAGACAGAATATCAAAAATAGCCAGCTTTAAAGCAATCGACCCAGAAAATCCAGAAAATGAGGAACTTAACTTCCTGGAGGAAGAGTTAGATCCATACACAAAAAACTAGCTCCTGTTTGCAGATGATCGGTGCCTGTTCTACAATGAACAGACTAAGTTCATCATGCAGAAGATATAACATGAAAATAAATACTGCTAAAACTGAAGTAATGGAGGTTTATAAAATTCATAGTCTACTGCATATCTTGTTGAATGGTACTTGTCTGAAGCAAGTTAAAGAATTAAAATACCTAGCTCTTTACGGACGTTTAGCCAGTATACTGGCGCTTAAGTCTATCCCTTAAAGACATAAAGCCAGTTTACTGGCTCATAATAGAGACACTCTAATTTTGTTCCATTTGTAGGGTAAACAAACTTTTATGAACAAGTTTTTTAACAATAAGGATTAACAACAGGATGTACTTTCATTTGCGATGTTCATCGTGGTCGGTGCATTATTTTGTGATTTAAAAAATTTTTATTTAGATGGGATACATTTTTACGTGATTTTTCTATACTAAATGATAAGGGAAAAGGTCTAAAACTGTCCATACTGCTCTATCGTTGATGAATCCCTGCCAGATGGTGACAACAGTCTTGATATTATGATTGATATCTAAGGGACACATCTACTAGCGATAATTTAGTTTCGGCTATGAAAATTTCACAAAATATTTCAATTAGATCAATGTTTCGATCAGCTGTTTTTCCGATTTTCGGTTGTTGTGAAAATTGACATGTCATACAAAAATGATTAAATATCCAAAGTATTTAAATTAATTGTTTCAAATAAAGACTAGCTAATACATAATTGAACAGAGAAGGCATGTGTATTCTTAGAATTGGATAGCGGTGTTGTTGAACCAGTAAAAAATAAGGTTAGCACACTATTTTTTATTTTTAAAATTTTCATATGTGTCTAACATCCTTGAATGTTGTGTGATTTTAATAATATTTTGATGTTATACTGACATTTAAGTAGTTTAGATTTATTCTGCACTCATTTATCTTTAATTTGATATATTATAAGTCCCGATACAGCCCATACTTTTTCTTCAGGTAGGTTTTAGCTTTGTCGTGTTGCACAAAAAAAATTTCGCTTAAAATTAATGCTGTCCAAACCCCAGAAAAAATGCTGTCCTAAAAGAGCTAGGAAGTATATTCTCTGGAAATGGGAGAATAGATTGGGAAACCGAAACAAGATGCCAACGAGCCAGTGCAATTATATATACCAACTGACAACATTGTTAAGACATCCAAACATAAGTATGAGCGCCAAGAAACAGATTATGAACAGCATTTTCATACCAACACTGTGCTACCAGTACCAGACTTGGACATTATCAGAGGCTAAATTACATAAAATTAACACCTGTGAAATGAAATGCCTGAGAAAAGCTGCTATCCTAACCATTCGAGACAAAGTTAGAAATGATATTACCAGACAGACTGTAGGAACAACAACATGCAGCAAATTTATTGAGAAACAGAAAATCAAATGGTTTGGTCATCTAGTAAGAATGCAACCAAAACATCTACCATAGTAGGCGCTACCTAGGATAACATGGATTGATGACATTAAAGAACTTCTACATCAACACGGAATGGCAATAGCCATTGCTGCCCATCAAGCAGTGGACCGCAAATTGTTTTCCTCACAACATTTAATGGCAGAAGTGGAAATTAGTGATGATGATGATGATTTATTACAAATACGCCACTCGGTTTAAATTTCAAACATAGCAAACAATATGTAACACTCATAGCTGCATGCTTATGCCACTCATTCAGAAACTGTTAACATTTGAAAGCTACCAGTTACTAGTGCTTAATGCTAGCTGCACATGTATATTTGCAACATGAAAGTTTATTTCAGTTAATACCCGCTCCATGTAATAATTACTTGTTGTAAGAATGTAGATGTATGTATGTTTGAGTGTATGTTTATGTACCAGAATATGTGTATTTGCATGTATGAGTATAAAAATTTATGTATGAGAGTGTATGTGTGTGTATATATATATATATATATATATATATATATATATATATATATATATATATATATATATATATATATATATATTTTTAAGTGTGTGTCTGTTTATATGTGAGTGTGTGTCTGTGTATATGTGAGTGTGTGTCTGTGTATATGTGAGTGTGTCAGTGTATGTATGAGAGTGTGATTATGTATATGCGAGAGTGCTGGTGTATATATGAGCGTGTGTCTGTGTATCTATGAGTGTGTGTCTATGTATGAGTGTGTTTCTGTGTATACATGAGTGTGTGTCTGTGTATGTTTGAGTGTGTGTCAGTGTATGTATGAGTGTATGTATGAGCATGTGTCTGTATGAATACTTGTGTACTGTGAGTGAATGGAGTTGAGTGTAAACAGAGCTAGCAGTGCATTCTTCTGACCTGGCATCACCTGAATTCTGTTTTTTTTGTTTCTTTGAGGGAAATTAACACTTATGCACAGGAGAGTGAAACATGGATGCTGAGGACAGTGCAACAGTGCATTTCAGACATGTCTGATCCAACAGCAGTATGAAATGTGGGAACAGATTGATTGCTAAAGGGAGCTATTTTGCAGAGTATAGTTTGAATAATTGTATTTGTACTAAATTTCTGTGCAATAAAAAATTATGGAAGCTTGTTTGATACAATTTTCAAAATGTTTATTCAGTATTGATCTTTTATATAGTGCTTTTTGACATTTATTCATTTAAATTTTGTGTTTTTATTTTCATATAAAGGACAAGATAGAAGGGTTTGTTATGCAAAATGGTGTCAAGTTCTATTTTGTTTCCTTCTTGGATGGCATGCAAAGAGTGATCATGTTTACAGAAGATGTAACAACAGCCACACTGGCTCTGGAGGTGGGTGCTTCTGTTAACTGAAGACGTAATATCAGCCTCACTGACTATAGTGGTAGCATTGGTTTCATTGATGTTATCACCGACAGACAAGTCAGCTTTACTAATACATTAATATTTCATTGACAGACCTGCAAACTTGACACATCCATTAACATGTAACTTTCAAACTGGTAAACTTGACACATCCATTAACATTTTAAGTTTCAGACTAAGATGAAAACTTAGCACACTGAATAATGGAGTATGTTAGACTGAGAAGTTAGACTGACTAGTTATTTTTATAAGGTCGGTGAACTGAGCACAAGTTTGCTCTGAGCCGTTATTACTTTTTAATCTCCAGACTCACAACCGCAGTAGCCTGGACCTTTTGCACTCGCCTCTGTCATCATCATCATCATCATCATCATCACTAAGCGCCTTGTCGACTCGCATGGGTAATGATGTCTCTGACCTTTGACCTCTGACACACTTGAATACCGAAGTAAGTTCAGCACACAGCAAGATTGACCTGCCAGATGGCGATGAATGAGTTTAACAGACAGATTATTTCAAAAAAATCTTGAGATCAGTTCATCTGATGATATGGGTTAATGAGCTTTACACACAGATGACCTCAAAAGCAACATTTTGACTGATTATCATGATGATGAGAAAGACGAATTATTTATAACTGGGAAGTCTAACCTGGGCAATGATTTCTTGTAAAAGCTGGATATGTCAGCCAAAAGGCACACACAGGTATCACAAGTGGGCTATAAACAGGCACAAGGCAATTACATCCTCAGAAGGATAAAGAAGAATAATGATCTTTACACACAGATAAGCCTTAAAATTAATTCTCATACTGACTAGCTAGATGATGGTGATGATAATGATGATGATGATAATGAAAATGAGCTGAAACCATCAATATTTCTACTAGGCTGGCGAGCTGGAACAAGCAGACCAGGAGATCAACATCAAGATCTGTGAAGTTGGCTTTTCTCTGGTCAACAATGAGAAGCTGATGGAAGTTGTCTACATGGGCATTACAAGGTAAAACCTTTAGGGAAACTGTGTGTATGAATGTGTTACAAAAAAAAACAAAGGTTTTACAAAAGGCACATACAGACTCACAAGAAGCATATAGAGACAGAGTGGCTCAAACTGAGATATTGTGTGACTGGAGTTTCCATTCGATGTAACTTGCTGACAGTAATAGTGCCTGTCAGTTTGTTGTGAGAGCAGGCGGAGAGCCTAGCTTCTTTTATGTTCTTCTTCCCTCTACTTGTGTTGAGTGACGGTCATCATCATGTAGCAGGTCTTTTGCAGAACGTTGCTGTCATCACAGTCTGCCTGAAAGAAACTCAGTCAGTCGCCAGCTCTCCCACCTCATGTATCTTCATGTTGGTCGGCTCCTGCCCCTCCTTACTGGTACCATGCCTTCTGCTGTTATTTTTTTCTAATCCGCTATGGTGCTTGATATGACCAAAATATTTCAGCTTCCGGGACAAGATGCTGTTTATTAGCCAATCTTCCTTGATGTTCAGATTTTTTAAAATGTCAGTATTTCTCCTCTTCTTTATCTGAGAATCTGTCTATATCATTTCAACTCAAAGGATGGTCGGGATGGTCAGTACTTGTCATTCATCATACTCTGTCAGTAGCATTGAGGGTTCCCCAGTGATTGATAGTCTAAAGACATGCCAGCTATTTTAGTATGTTCATTTATGTTGAGTAAATAATTATGTACTTATCTGACTTCTTCTGCTGCCTGTTATTTGTGATGTCCATTAGGCAGAACACCTTTTAAATGAAATTATGCTGCAACTGTAACTGAGTTTCACCTGGAACTCTCAAAGTGCACACATATACACCTTAATGACTTTGTCTGTTGTCAGCTTTCTGTACACTGGTCAGTTGACTGCCATTGTCTGATCTTCTGTGACAGCTCTGGAGTTATCTGGGAACAGAAAAGGGCAAGTTTCAAGATAATAAAGGCTAGGGAAGCAGAGAATGTGGAAAAGTTCTATCAGAAGTTTAAGAAGGATGATGATGTTACTAAATCAACAACCTCTCTTGCTAAACTTGACAATAATGTAGAGGTAAGGCTTTTTTTTTTTTTTTTTATATAATTGTGCAACAAAAATAAGTTTTTGTTATTTGCTTACTTCCAAGATACAGAATAGTGGTATATCATTTTCTCTGAAATTATTTGTCTTTATAGTCAGAAAGTAGCCACATTAAATCATCTTTTCTTACAGCCAGAATGTAGCCACAATAAATTATTTGTTCTTAAAGCCAGAAAGTAGCCACATTAAATTATTTGTTCTTACGGCCAGAAAGAAGCCACATTAAATGATGTGTTGTTACACTCAGATTGTAGTCACATTAAATGCTCTATTCCTACAGCCAGATTGCAGTAACTTTAAATATGCTATTCTTACAGCCAGATTGCAGTAACTTTAAATATGCTATTCTTACAGCCAGATTGCAGTCACTTTAAATATGCTATTCTTACAGCCAGATTGCAGTCCCTTTAAATGTGCTATTCTTACAGCTAGATTGCAGCCACATTAAATTACTTGTACTTACAGCCAGAAAGTAGCCACATTAAAGGGTTTTTTCTTACACCAGAAAGTAGCCACATTAAATTATTTTTTCTTACATCCAGATTGCAGTCACATTATATGCACTATTCTTACTGCCAGACTGCAGTCACATTACATGCGCTATTCTTACAGCCAGACTGCAGTCACATAATATGCGCTGTTCTTACAGCCAGACTGCAGTCACATTAAATGCACTATTTTTATGCAGCCAGATTGCAGTCACATTAAATTATGTGTTTTTACAGACATAAAGTAGCCATGTTAAAAAAAATTTTTTTTTTGAGCCAGAAAGTCTTCTTCTTCTTCTTCACTTCCTCTTTTACCGCTGGGGGTGTCGAGGGAGATATAAGGTTCTGTTTCTGGCTTTTCTGGCCGCCTCGACCATAGGCACATTGTGCTGTTATAGAGCTTCTCTGATGTTATCCTTCCATATGGTTCTTGGTCTACCTCTTGCTCTACGACCTTCTTCTCTTTCCATGTATGCTTTGTATGGTATGGTGTCATAAGGCATTCTCTCTAAGTGGGCAAACCATTTCACTTGCTGTCTTTGTATGTAATTTAGAATTGGTTCTGTGCCGACTTTTTCTCTTATGATCTCATTCCTGATCTTATCTCTTATGGTCACTCCTACAGCCCTTCTCAGACATCTCATTTCCATGGTTACTAATTTTCTTTTATGGTTTGTTGTGAGTGACTATGTCTGGCACTGATAGCACAGAGTTAGAATAAATATGCTTTGAATAAAATGTCTCTTTGTGCTGATTGGGATTGTCTTATGCTGTAAGGGGAGCTAGCTGTCCCAATACTTGGTTTGCTTTACTGCATCTAATGTTAATTTCTTTATCCAATTTCTCATCTTCGGTAAACGTAGTTCCCAGATATTTAAACTCAGATGCCTGTTTAATGCCTTTGTTCTCTATTGCTATGTTTAGATCTGTCTTCTTTTTTTCCTATTTACATTACTTCTGTCTTTTCAGTGTTGATTCTCATATTATTTGTTTTACATTCTTCATTCATGGATGTTAGATGTTGTTGCAATTTCATGGCTGTATCTGCTATCAAGGCCTGGTCATTCGCAAGAGCCAGAAAGTGGACACATTAAAAAATTTATTCTTGCAGCCATATTGTAGCCACATTAGATTATTTATTCTTACAGCAAGAAAGTAGCCAAAATAAATTATTTGTTTTGACAGCCAGATAGTAGCCAAATTTTATTATTTTGTTTACAACAAGAATGCAGCCACAGTAAATGTGTTGTTCTCACAGCCAGAAAGTAGCAACATTTAATATTTTGCTCTTACTGTATTTTGACACATAGCCACTAGGTTGAATGGCACTCATGCTTCCCTCTTCCCTAGCTAGAAGTACAGTGGGTTAAACACACATATTTGGAAACACATCTATTAACCTATCAAGTGTGTGAGCTTGTGTGTGTTCAGGTTTTTTGATTCAGTCTGCCTTTTATCTGCAAACCTCAGGTTGATTTTAAAAATATGCAAATCTGTAAGCCCTACACTGCAAACATCAGACGCAGTTTTGAAGACGGGATCTGGATACAAATCCGCAAATCACCACATTCAATGCAGTTTCATGCCAAAATCAACCGACTGCAGGTAGGTATGTCACAGTGATTTCTGAAACATTTGTATACTGAGATCCTTGTTCACACCTTGTGAATATGTGGTGCTAGACCCATATTTGTTTACGTTGACTGGCAATGGTGGGTAATGTTAATATGACACCTTTGCTTCCCACAATATTTCCTGGTAGACATTCAGGGTAGTGTTTGCAGAGATCTCTCAAATTCTTCTATGATGACTAGGCTTCCCAGCCATTGGTCAACAACATAACCACAGAGCAGACCTGATAGGAAATTCTACAATAACAGAGACAGCTGTGACCATAACAGAGCTCATAGAGGCAGCTGTGTACTGCAAGAGAGCTTGTAGAGGCAGCTGTGTACTGCAAGAGAGCTTGTAAAGACAGCTGTGTACTGAGAGCTTGTAGAGGCAGCTGTGTACTGCAAGAGAGCTTGTAGAGGCAGCTGTGTACTGCAAGCAAGAGTAGAGGCTAGAGCTTGTAGAGGCAGCTGTGTACTGCAAGAGAGCTAGTAGAGGCAGCTGTGTACTGCAAGAGAGCTTGTAGAGGCTTGTACTGCAAGAGAGCTGTGTACTGCAAGAGAGCTAGTAGAGGCAGCTGAGCTTTGTAGAGGCAGCTGTGTACTGCAAGAGAGCTGTGTACTGCAAGAGAGCTTGTAGAGGCAGCTGTGTACTGCAAGAGAGCTTGTAGAGGCAGCTGTGTACTGCAAGAGAGCTTGTAGAGGCAGCTGTGTACTGCTAGAGAGCTTGTAGAGGCAGCTGTGTACTGCAAGAGAGCTTGTAGAGGCAGCTGTGTACTGCAAGAGAGCTTGTAGAGGCAGCTGGTGGCAAGCTTGTAGAGGCAGCTGTGTTCTGCTAGAGAGCTGTGTAAGAGGCAGCTGTTACTGCAAGAGAGCTTATAGAGGCAGTAAGATTGGCAGCTGTGTACTGCAAGAGAGCTGTTACTGCAGTAGCTTATAGAGGCAGCTGTGTACTGCAAGAGAGCTAGTAGAGGCAGCTGTGTACTGCAAGAGAGAAAGTCTTAAAAAGGGGGAAGTAACTCTAAGTTAATTCTCCCATTGTTCTGCGTCGGTGCCTGATTTAAAAAAGAAGTAGAAAGTCTTAAAAATGGGGAAGTAACTTCCTAATTGATATTGTTCATTCTTGCTATAATGAAGCAATAAGAAAAAAGGTAAGAAAATTGATAATAGTGCTAATACAAAGCAATACTTAAAAGGGAAGAAACAGCTGTCCAGACCAGCTCGTCACACTTATAGAGGCAGCTGTTTACTGCAAGCTATAGGGGCAGCTGTTTACTGTAAGAGAGCTTATAGATGCAGCTGTTTACTGCAAGAGGCAGCTGTGTACCTCTACAAATCCCAGGTTTAGGTTTACACGATGGATCAGCATCATGGCACAAGGGGTAACCCCAAGTCTGCCATTCTACTTGGGTCTCAAGTCTGAGTCCGAAGAATCTCAGCGCAGTGCACTTACCCCATAGCACCGGCGAGGATCCTAAAATACTTTGGGTAGATTAGTAACTCCACATTTTGCCCAGGCAGCGCTGTAAGGCTACTCTTTTTTATTTCTAACCGCCAAGGGATTTTTTTAACATGCAACAATACACATGGGCGAGCGATCTTACTACCTAGAGACCAGAAGAAATTACTAAAAGTCCAAATAAAAGAATCCCAGCATTCACTGGGGCTTATACCCGGGACCTCCCGCACTCGAGGTGGACACCATGCATCAAGACCAAGCAATCCCCGCTGCAAGTTGGCTGTGGGCCACTAAAGATCTCAGACAGCCAGCTGTGTACAATAGATCACAGGGACCCAACTGTGTACAACAATAGATCACAGGGACCCACTTGTGTACCACAATAGATCTCAGAGACCCAATTGTGTACCACAATAGATCTCAGAGACCCAGCTGTGAACCACAATAGATCTCAGAGACCCAGCTGTTTACCACAATAGATCTCTGAGACCCAACTGTGTACCACAATAGATCTCTGAGACCCAACTGTATACCACAATAGATCTCTGATACCCAACTGTGTACCACAATAGATCTCTGAGACCCAACTGTGTACCACAATAGATCTCAGAGACCCAGCTGTGTACCACAACAGATCTCAGAGAGAGCTGTGTACAGTCTCAGATACCCAAATACCACAAATCTCAAAGACCCAGCTGTGTTACCACAATAGATCTCTGAGACCCAACTGTGTACCACAACAGATCTCTGAGAAACTGTGTACCACAATAAAATCTCTGAGACCCAACTGTGTACCACAAAAGATCTCTGAGACCCAACTGTGTACCACAATAGATCTCAGATAGTGTACCACAATAGATCTCAAGAGACCCAACTGTGTACCACAACATATCTCAGAGAGTCAACTGTGTACCACACAATACATAACTGTGTACACAATAGATCTCAGATACCCAACTGTGTACCACAACAGATCTCGGAATTAACTGTGTGCCACAACAGATCTCAGAGAGTCAGCTGTGTGCCACAATAGATCTCAGAGACCCAACTGTGTACCACAATAGATCTCAGAGACCCAACTGTGTACCACAATAAATCTCAGAAAGCCAGCTGATCACAGAGAGTTGACAGTGTACCAAAAACAGATCTCAGGGAGTTAGCTGTGTACCACAATATATCTCAGAGAGTTGGCTGTGTACCATAAAATATCTCAGAGAGTCAACTGTGTGCCACAACATATTTCAGAGAGTCAACTGTGTGCCACAACATATCTCAGAGAGTCAACTGTGTGCCACAACATATTTCAGAGAGTCAACTGTGTGCCACAACATATTTCAGAGAGTCAACTGTGTGCCACAACATCTCAGATCAGCAGAGAACAGATCAGAGAATCTGTGTGCCACAACATATTTCAGAGAGTCAACTGTGTGCCACAACATATCTCAGAGAGTCAGCTGTGAGCCACAACAGATCTCAGAGAGTCAACTGTGCACCACAACATATCTCAGAGAGTCAACTGTGCACCACAACATACATCACAGAGAGTCAATTGTGCACCACAACAGATCTCAGAGAATCAACTGTGTGCCACAACATAGAGTGTCAACTGTGCACCACAACAGATCTCAGAGAATCAGCTGTGAGCCACAACAAAGAGCCATCTGGCTGTGTACAGCAACATATCTCAGAGAGTCAACTGTGAGCTACAACAGATCTCAATGAGTCAGCTGTGAGCCACATTGCTTCCCCCTACAGCACCAGAAAAACAGAATACCTCTTAGAGAAGCACACAACTGCTGATGACTGCACACGGATGTGCAAGCCAAGCAAGAGGTTACATACTAATGCATTGTCTTCACAAAGTGCTCATAAATATCTCCCAGACTGGATCAATCAAAAATATTCAGGGAAAGTTACTCACCAACATTGAAGATCAAATGGACAGGTGGACTGAATATTTTTAAATACTTTTAAATATACCAAAACTAGAGGTTCCTCCAGCTATTCAACCTTTAGAAATGGAACTGGATATTAACTGTGAGATACCATTTAAAGAGGAATTTGAAAAGCTATAAATCTTCTGAAGGAAGGAAAGGCGGCAGGTCAAGATGGTATCACACAGAAGTTTTTAAGGTCAATATAAACACATCTGCAGAAATGCTACACAAATTATTTAGTCTGGGAGATGGAAGAAATATGAACAGACTGGAGAGAAGGATATCTTGTGAAACTACCCCCCCCCCCCCTTCATCCCCTTTCCCAAGTGATCTACAGGAGTGTGAAAACTGTAGAGGAATTATGCTGCTATCAGTTGCTGGAAAAATATTAAGTAGACTTATTTTAGACAGACTAAAAGATGCCATTGATAAAAAGCTAAGAGATGAACATGCAGGTTGTCGGCCAAACATATCATTTACTGACCAGATAGCCACATTAGGTATAGCAATAGAACAGAACATTGAACTGAACTCATCACGTTACATGAATTTATAGACTAAAAAAGCATTTGACAGCATTGATAGGGAATCTCTTGGGACACTAATGGGGCACTATTTAATCCTACAGAAGATTATTAACCTTTCAATGGCAACTTATAAAAATATAAAATGTCAAGTTCTTCATGAGGGAAAGCTAACAGATACATTTGAAATAAAAACAGGTGTGCGACAGGCATGTCTTTTGTCGCCTCTCCTATTTTTACTGGCTATAGACTGGATTATTAAGTCAGTAACTGCTAACACCAAGAATGGAATTTAGTGGAACCTTACAAAACAGCTTAATGATTTGGACTTCGCTGATGATTTTTCTCCTCTGGCCTTTTTACGAAATCTGACGCAAGATAAATTAAATATACCGGATCACAATATCTATAAAATCCATAAATGAAAGACAAAGATAATAAGAATAAAGCAGGCAAAACATTATTTGGTTTCTCTTAATGGTATCCCACTCCAAAACATGGAGTCGTACACCTATTTAGGCAGTAATGTAGATAAAGATGGGGTAACTGATATAGATCTAAAAAATACTAATACAAAAAGCAAGAGGAGCTTTCATAGCACTAGAGAATTTTTGCAGAAAAAAAATTAAACTAATAATACTTAACATTAGAATTTAGAAGGAGAATACAGGAGATTAGTAAACATAGAATTTGGGAGGAGAATATAGGAGATTAGTTAACATAGAATTAGGTGGGAGAATACAGGAGATTAGTTAACATTGAATTAGGTGGGAGAATACAGGAGATTAGTTGCTCTCTAATGCATGATTCTGTCTTTTCAGTAGGTGGGAGAATACAGGAGATTAGTTAACATAGAATTAGGTGGGAGAATACAGGAGATTAGTTAACATAGAATTAGGTGGGAGAATACAGGAGATTAGTTAACATAGAATTAGGTGGGAGAATACAGGAGATTAGTTAACATAGAATTAGGTGGGAGAATACAGGAGATTAGTAAACATAGAATTTGGGAGGAGAATATAGGAGATTAGTTAACATAGAATTAGGTGGGAGAATACAGGAGATTAGTAAACATAGAATTTGGGAAGAGATTAAAGTAGAATATATTGCAACCATCCTCTCTCCGATGCCTCTCCCCAAGTCGGTCACTTTAAGCAATGGTTAGTTCACATCCTTCCCTCTATGTGCAGTCTTGTTTTGTTATTCTCATTCTGTGACAAGCTTAGCTGTACAACAAGCTGAGAAGGAGAACTACAATGTATAGCCAAGGAGAAAGAAAACATGTGAAAATGGTAGTGACTGTAGTCGAGCTGGTCTAAATGAATTCTGTGAACACAGACTGTGACTACGAAGCTCAGCTAGACAGGCGGTTTGGGAGGGGACCACAAACAGTAGAACATAAACATACCAGGACATTAATCTTTATGTTGTGGCTAGTTTCTAGGATTTCACTTCTTCTTGTGTTACTTGTTGATAAAGGCTTTTACCAAAACATCCAGTTGTTTGTGTTTTTCCTCAATAGTCTTTTACTGTCTTCCTTACTCTTGTTTCTTTTTCTATAATTCTTGCCAGTTGTTATATGTCCGTTCCCCCCCCCCCCCATATCATGACTGAAACTCCCCCACCCAAAGTTAGTTGTGTATCCTTTGCAGGAGGTTGCAGAACCAACCCCAACATATTTTTGCTATTGTGGTTTTTCTAGGCAAATTTTACATCTAGTAGTTTGCCATACCTTTATAAATGGTAGGTTTTTGGTACCACTTTCAAAACCAACTACAAGGCGAAAAATAACCTGCAGCTGGGATCAAACCCAGCACCCTAAAATATCTCTCCTATCTAAAAATCTGTCCGAGATAAAGTTGTAATGAGGTTATAAATAAGGAGAATGTCATAGTACGACTGATTGACGGAACTGGGGAAGTTCCTAAGGTAAGATGGGTTTTATGGGGTAATGGCTGATTGACAGAACTGTGGAAGTCTCTAAAATGAGAGTCAGGGATTTCACAAGGAAAACACAGGGTTAGTGAACTCACATGGAAATGAGATATCAGGAGGATTACTGATGAAGTGATCATTCTGCGACTGGGCTCAGGAGAATTCAGATGAAACTAGAGTGTTTGAAATGAAAGTGTGTTCAAGTTAAAATGAAGTGGGACTTCATTTCTGTATGGCTGCGAAATACCTGTGGTAAATCTACATTGAATGAAATCTGAGGACAATGACATTGTCCGAATAATTGTGACTAGTACTGACTGCATGTAGGTCAGCGTCATTTGTGGCGTGAATGTGTATCCACACGTGAGAGAAATTGATCCTTGTCAGAAGAACGTAAGTTGCATTGTCGTATTGATTCTTGTTGTATATTAGAGATGGAATCAATCTGGAACTAGTCATCGTCATCTATCATTTGGAATAGTGTGATCGTTGATGGAAGATAGTCTGCCCCATCTATCCTACATTGTTGACCCCTAGATCTGGGTCCAAGCAAATACAAGAAAGAGAGAGAGAGAGAGAGAGATCCAGAGATAAAAAGACACCCTTCTTTATAGGAACATCAATAGAATAGGAGAGAAGGGGTAGGTTCTTTACAGACCTGGTGATGATGATGTTTAAACCAATTTGGTAGAACAGAGGCAGCAGTAATAGTTTGCCCAGTGTATCATCAGATCCAGTCTGTACGTGTGTGTTTGTGTGCGTGTGTATTTGTGTGCACATGCATATATGCATGTATAAGTCTCTCTCACAAACAAACACAAGTACATGAAGTTTGAGCAGCACAATAGAAGTTCTAGTAAATATTAACATTATCCCACAGTATATTCATCACTCTTGCTGTTTCTCTAACACCACCTGGATTACAAATATCTTAGAGAAGGGTTTATCTTTCTCATGGATTACAAATATCTGCAATATAGGTTTCTCTTATGCATGCATTTATGTATATGTTTCCCTTACTTATAGATTACATATATCAGAGCATCTCTTACAAATACATTACATATATCTTAAGTATATGTGTCTCCTACACATAGATTATATACACAGACATATATATGTTTTTTCTTAGACATAGTGATATATATCTCTGTTCTCAGTGCCGGTGCCATTTATTGAACTGTGTTTGATTACTAGAATCCATAGACACAGCAGTCTGCAGCAGATCAAGTAAGCTGGTGATGTCCATTATAGAAGATGATGTTATGTTGCATATTATTCTCTAAATGTGACAAGATGGTGTAGATGGTAGACCAGCAGAGAATGGTGATTCTTCTTTACATTTCCTGGCTGTAAACTTGTGGACAGTTCTAGCTGTTCGTCCACTTCTGGATTTTAGTCTTGTTCCAGAACTTGAGTTGTGCATGTACATCTATATTACAGATCTGGCTTTTTTGTATTCAGACTGTTGGTTTCTTACCTGTCAGGTAGATGTACTAGGACTGTGAAGGAAACACAAATAAGTCGTCTGGTACGACATACTTGTTATAAAACCAGTGGGTCCATTCATGTTTTTCCCCACAGTGGGGCCTCAGAGCCCACACAGCGAGGAAGAAGATAAATAACCAAACATTTGCCATGGAATATAAGTAACCAAGCCAGCCTAAAGGTTTCAATCTGCATCAGGTGGGTTTGTAAAAAATGTAGTCCCTAAGTTGATAAGCTTAAATTAATTTTTTTATTCATTGTCGTGTTGTACCATTAACTTCTGCCTTCACCTGGTTGTGATTAACACATACCTTCACCTGCTTTTGATTAACATCTGCCTTCACCTGGTTGTGATTAACATCTTCCTTCACCTGGTTGTGATTAACTTCTGCCTTCACCTGGTTGTGATTAACATCTGTCTTCACCTGGCTGTGATTAACATCTGCCTTCACATGGTTGTGATTAAAATCTGCCTTCACCTGGTTGTGATTAACATCTGCCTTCACCTGGTTGTGATTAACTTCTGCCTTCACATGGTTGTGATTAAAATCTGCCTTCACCTGGTTGTGATTAACTTCTGCCTTCACCTGGTTGTGATTAACTTCTGCCTTCACCTGTGATTTACCTGGTTGTGATTAACATCTGCCTTTACCTGGTTGTGATTAACTTCTGCCTTCACCTGGTTGTGATTAACTTCTGCCTTCACCTGGTTGTGATTAACTTCTGCCTTCCCCTGGTTGTGATTAACTTCTGCCTTCACCTGGTTGTGATTAACTTCTGCCTTCACCTGGTTGTGATTAACTTCTGCCTTCACCTGGTTGTGAATAACTTCTGCCTTCACCTGGCTGTGATTAACTTCTGCCTTCACCTGGTTGTGATTAACATCTGCCTTCACCTGGTTGTGATTAACTTCTGCCTTCACCTGTATGTGATTAACTTCTGCCTTCACCTGGCTGTGATTAATATCTGCCTTCACCTGGTTGTGATTAAATTCTGCCTTCACCTGCTTGTGGGTTAACTTCTGCCTTCACCTGGTTGTGATTAACTTCTGCCTTCACCTGGTTGTGATTAACTTCTGCCTTCACCTGGTTGTGATTAACTTCTGCCTTCACCTGGTTGTGATTAACTTCTGCCTTCACCTGGTTGTGATTAACTTCTGCCTTCACCTGGTTGTGATTAACTTCTGCCTTCACCTGGTTGTGATTAACTTCTGCCTTCACCTGGTTGTGATTAACTTCTGCCTTCACCTGGTTGTGATTAACTTCTGCCTTCACCTGGTTGTGATTAACTTCTGCCTTCACCTGGTTGTGATTAACTTCTGCCTTCACCTGGTTGTGATTAACTTCTGCCTTCACCTGGTTGTGATTAACTTCTGCCTTCACCTGGTTGTGATTAACTTCTGCCTTCACCTGGTTGTGATTAACTTCTGCCTTCACCTGGTTGTGATTAACTTCTGCCTTCACCTGGTTGTGATTAACTTCTGCCTTCACCTGGTTGTGATTAACTTCTGCCTTCACCTGGTTGTGATTAACTTCTGCCTTCACCTGGTTGTGATTAACTTCTGCCTTCACCTGGTTGTGATTAACTTCTGCCTTCACCTGGTTGTGATTAACTTCTGCCTTCACCTGGTTGTGATTAACTTCTGCCTTCACCTGGTTGTGATTAACTTCTGCCTTCACTTGGTTGTGATTAACTTCTGCCTTCACCTGGTTGTGATTAACTTCTGCCTTCACCTGGTTGTGATTAACTTCTGCCTTCACATGGTTGTGATTAACTTCTGCCTTCACCTGGTTGTGATTAACTTCTGCCTTCACCTGGTTGTGATTAACTTCTGCCTTCACCTGGTTGTGATTAACTTCTGCCTTCACCTGGTTGTGATTAACTTCTGCCTTCACCTGGTTGTGATTAACTTCTGCCTTCACCTGGTTGTGATTAACTTCTGCCTTCACCTGGTTGTGATTAACTTCTGCCTTCACCTGGTTGTGATTAACTTCTGCCTTCACCTGGTTGTGATTAACTTCTGCCTTCACCTGGTTGTGATTAACTTCTGCCTTCACCTGGTTGTGATTAACTTCTGCCTGCACCTGGTTGTGGTTAACTTCTGCCTTCACCTGGCTGTGATTAATATCTGCCTTCACCTGGTTGTGATTAACTTCTGCCTTCACCTGGTTGTGATTAACTTCTGCCTTCACATGGTTGTGATTAACTTCTGCCTTCACCTGGTTGTGATTAACTTCTGCCTTCACCTGGTTGTGATTAACTTCTGCCTTCACCTGGTTGTGATTAACTTCTGCCTTCACCTGGTTGTGATTAACTTCTGCCTTCACCTGGTTGTGATTAACTTCTGCCTTCACATGGTTGTGATTAACTTCTGCCTTCACATGGTTGTGATTAACTTCTGCCTTCACATGGTTGTGATTAACTTCTGCCTTCACCTGGTTGTGGTTAACTTCTGCCTTCACCTGGTTGTGATTAACTTCTGCCTTCACATGGTTGTGATTAACTTCTGCCTTCACCTGGTTGTGATTAACTTCTGCCTTCACCTGCTTGTGATTTCTCAGTGACTGTGAGTTTGCTCAGCAAAATCAAGGTGTGTTTGGAGACCTACATATTAAAGACTCCAGATTTCTGGGAGGATATCATACCTAACAAACATTATAATGACAAGAAGGTAGGCAGGACTAGTGTAAACTGTTTGAACAGTAGACTAATATACTTTATGCTGAGAAACACAGAGAATTAGGATGATTAGATTAATCAAGCAATGATGGTGAATCTGCAACACTGACCTGACTGAACAAACAGCAAGTCAGTGAAAAATATTAAACCTGCACTGAACTAGTGTTGTCAGCCTGTATAGGCTGAATTATGTACTGGGGAGGGAATCTCAGCACTTATGAACTTCTTCCTTCGTTCGCTTGAAATAGATATCTATATCTGCAATGTAGTCTCTAGTATGAACCTCACTATCTTTTGTAATTCACTCAGCGACCCGTAAGGTTTGATTGACTTGCCCCCATGTTTCTCTTGGCACTTATGAACTAAAGGGTTTGATGTCAAATAAGGATGATTTGTTTACTAGCTACTATTTATTTTATTTTCAAATCTCATTCTTGAGGATTTGTTAAAAACATGTTGAGCTGAAAGGCACAGATATCTCAGCCTAGCTGTAAATCGAACCACCCACTACCCTTTTAAGGACAAACACAGAAGAAGAAGTTGACCTTAACTTGTCATTAGTTCCCATACCTGGCAAATAACAACTATTGCTATGTATATATACAGTAGCAACTGTCTGTTTTTTCTCATGCTTTTCACCAGTAACGATAGCTATCTGCTTTCACTGTGTTTAGTTGGATATTGCAGTCAGTAATGACAACTATTCAGTTTATTATTTTCTATCAGATATTGCAGCAAATAGTAACAACTGTCTACTTTCATATCTTCTCTCAGATAATGCAGCGAATAATAACAACAATCTACTTTCATATCTTGTCTCCAATATTGCAGTGAATAATAACAACTATCTACTTTAATATTTTCTCTAAGATATTTCAGCAAATAATAACAACTATCTACTTTCATATTTTCTCTTAGATATTGCAGCAAATAACAACTATCTACTTTCATATTTTCTCTCAGATATTTCAAGGTCCTCATTCAGGAGATCAATATCAAAATAGATCAGAGTTTTATCAATGGCATTCTGACCATGTTTGCTACTGATGTCAACACACTCAGGGAGAGAGAGGTTTGAGTGCACACTTCTCTCATCATCATCATCATCCTATGACACTACACCCAGTCTTGTTAATTGTCACACTGTACAATGGACATTGCCTCAGCCACAAGGCCTTCGAGAGACATCGCACTCTTGTCTCGGCCGCATGGCCATCGGAGACACATCACCACTTTTGCCAATGTCTCGGCCGCTCGGCCATCAAGAGACAATCTTCTCGTCACTGCCAACACCGCTTGGCTTCCAAGTAACATTCAACAATTACCTCGGCCGTAGCCTACAATGTTTTGACTGGTACCAGCAATGTTAAAAACGTCATTGCTTAAGTGGCTCGGTCGGTGTACTCACACAAGGCTCCCTAATATGTTAACAGACCTACAGTTAAACCTTGATGTGGAGACAAACAATGAGATAAACTGACCCCAAGTTCAGGTCGAGACGTATACAAGCCACTCCGTGGACAATAGACAACACCACTCCTAGTCGACAATAGACACGGACCACTCCTAGTTAACTTAACAATAGACGCAGACCACTGCTAGTGAAAACAAAACTAACATCTGATCACACAACAAAACTACACAGGCCGCACCTACACAAGTTCTGAACCAAATTAAATCAAGACGCGATAATCTGAGCCGACTAGACCTGGCAAATTAAACAACTCCACAACGCTACTCATCCGTGAACAAGATGATATAATACCTAACTAAGAACAACCCTAGTCTACGATAACGAAACCACACACGTCGGCGAACATATTCAAAGTCTGAATGAAAAGGGCACGTGGACGCCATAAAAACCAATTTAAAATTAAAAAATCACCGCTTTTACCTGCGCAAACTAGAACTCCTTCGTGAATTAAATCCTGTAACATCTAACTATACAAATATCCAAAGACTGCAATATAGAGGGCCCCATGTTGGGCGCCATTTGTGATAGCGGGAAGAAAGGAAAAAACAAGAAGAAAGGGAGAGAAAATTGTGATGATTAGAACAAAAGTCATAGTAGTTCCCCGCTAAACAACAAAAACAGAAAAGTAAAGAAAAGACAGGGGTTCTTCTCCGCAGAGATCCCAGATATTTCACCGAGACCCTAACTATGGATATCTGCATAATAACGTTACATGACGTCGACCTAAACATGGGTACACACACCTAGACAACCACGGGCTACAGATCCTAAATTAAGTCAAGCAAATGAATTATGATCACATTAAACAGTTTATTTTACTCAACATTACATCAGCGTGGTCAACAAATAAATAACGACCACGTGCTGGAACAAAACCTCAAATATACAGCGATCTACCATCTAACTATTTCTTGGCAAGAATACAAATAAAAATTAATATTAAATCTAACCAAAGGAACGTACCCTGAGCCGAGTCAATCTAGCGCCGCCCAGCCATTCCGATCTGACACACCTGTGCATTGCGACCAAGTGCAGTCGACAACGACAACAGGGCGTTTTGACCATAACAAGCCGGAGCGACCACCAGATAGGAGAAGGGCAAATAAAAATCAGTCAGCCATTTAAATATCCCAGTGGGCTGATTTTTCCCCATCTTCCGTCCAACTCTATTAGTTAGTTCCGGTGGCCTTTTAACCATTTTAAAACCAGAATAAATCTAAGATCTTTAATTTGCTGTACTGTAGCCTTCGTCGCTTCCACCCTATTACACTATCAAGAAAAAAAAACTTTTGTATGCTTGCTTGTATTTCTGTCTGCTTGTCTGTCTGCCTATCTGTGTATCTACCTGCTTGTTTATATACTTATCTGTCTACTTGTTGATTTTGTCTGCTTATCTAGCTATCTGCCTATGTGTCAGTCTGTCTGCTTATATAGCAACCTACCTACCTACTTGTCTGTCTGCTGATCTAGCAAAGTGCCTCTTATCTGTGGGTTTACTGACCAGCTTGATTTAGTCAGTCAACGCCGACTTACAATTTAAGTCTAGTAAAATTAAGCTCAGTGCTTTATCAGCTGTCCGTACTGGTGGCAGAGCACTTATGGTTTATAACCATGTGCAATGACGCTGGTTCACATCTCCCGACTTTACTTTTTACTTTTAAGCTCAGTGTTTCATTGTAATTTAGTTATAGTTATGTTACTTCTTGTTTGTTGTCTTTGATAAATAGTTTTGTGGAATTGTGGCTCTTGTATTTTTTGATAATAGAGCAATTTTTGAACAGTAATAAATGTAATAGTGCAGATAGAGAAAGTGTGCCTTTAACCAGTGGAACTGACAGAATTTTGGATTTCAATAAAAGATGAATATTCCTTCTAAGTGATAAGACTCAGTGGATTTTTATTCTATTTTGAACGTTGTATTTGTGCAAAGCTGGGTTTTCGGGCTGTCGCTGTAATAAAAAAGCAATTATAGAGCAAAAATCAATGTGGAAAAGAAAATGAAGGGTGGCCGTGTCCAGTTTGATTCCTCGATTTGAGAAAATGTGCAGTGATTTCCAGTCTTATCCATCAGATTAATTGTTAATTTAATGTAAAAAAGAGAAAAATAATGAAGATACATGAGTTTTATTTGTTTTTATCTCTCTAACGAATAGTCTTACTTAGGATAGGATGCCGTGGAAAAATTTTAATTTAAAAAAGGCGCCGCAACTAAGACAAGTTTCGGAAACACTGGCCTAAACTGATAATAATGATAGAGAGTATTTTTATTAAGTTAGAGAGAATCTGTTTAATACTATAAAAGATAAATATTTTTTAGGATATTATTAGGGTGGAGGATATAAAACATATATTGCAAAAAGCAAAGGACACTGCCCCGGGCCCAGACGGAGTCAGGTATGTCCACTTGAAGAGGATGAGTGATGAAGACTTGAGGGAGTGGCCTTTTAACTTCAACCAGAGCATCAGAAGAGCTTCAATACAGCAGGAATGGGTACACAGCTACCTAATCCCACTTCCAAAACCAGGCAAAAATCATTCCAGACTCAGCGGTTTTAGGATTATCACCCTACACAATACTTTTGGCAAGGTGCTTAGAACTATTAAAAATTACCCCAGAGTTCTGCATATTCACCAGTGCTCTTTGATGTGTATACAAGCAAGATTGCAGAACTTGAAGCAAGCAAGATTGCAGAACTTGAAGCACCAGGTTTTAGAAGGATATTAACATTTGCCGATGACATTCTTGCATGAAGGCAGTGGAGTGATAGGCAACAGACATCCTAGGAGCTGCAGGCAACTGTAGACAAAGTAACTGACTGGTGTGCAGAAATGGGTGCTGTCATTAATTCAGAAAAGTTTGTTGTTTTGTGGGGCTCTCTGGACAATAACTAACTCTTTTGATAGAAGCCTGTCCTTTAGGGATTGTGTGGAGGCAGTTGCGGTGAAATGTCAAAAAGGACTCAATCCTCTCAAGATTATGGCAGCAATAGACAAGGAACAAAGAATGCTGTTCACAGTGTTCCAGCATGTGATCCTGTCAGTGATAGATTATAGACTTGGAATGCTAACCATATCAAAGAGTCACCTGATGAAACTTGAACACATACAGAATGAAGCCATGCGGGTAATTCTGGGATGTACAAGAGATACCCCGGTAGTTTGCTTGAGATACATACTTGCACTGCCTACTATTGCTGATAGGATCGAAGTTCTACAAGCACAGTCATATCTCAGAGTAGCTGCAGACAAGAAGCATCTCCTGCATAAAACCCTGGGTAGAGCTAAGGATCACAAACTAAAAAGAGGAAGTTCTTGGATGGCGCAAGCTGAAGACACAATCAGACATGTGTGCAGGCTGGATAATTTTTAGCGAGGAGAGGAGTGGGTCAAGGTGTCTAAGCAAGTTTCAGACTTGTGTAGGGTTCTAATCACTTTAGGTCCTGAGTGCAGGGACTGGCCAACGTTCAACAAATGATTCATGGCAATTTCTGCTCAAGTGATGTGATCATCTATACAGATGGCTCTGTGTTGAGAGGCAGACGAAGTGCATCGGGGTTCATAGCAAAAGCAAATGGGCGTTGCTTAGTGCAGCAAAGCCTGGCATATTGAGATATCACAACGTCTCGTTTGAGAATGGAGATGGAGGCAGTCACTGTTGCCTTGAGAATCAGCTGTAGAGACATGTAATGACTGTAACTGACTCACAGAGCTGGCTGAGAAAGGTGGAGACAAGTATGCTCTGTGCAGAGTGGCAAGCATCATTTCAGAGGTCCTGGGTAGTTAGTGTCCTTTGAATATTTGCTCCAGGTCATGCTGGTGTGTTGGGAAATCAGCAGGCAGATAGACAGGCCAGCTCTGCACCATTTGGTGGTGAAGTGATATATGACAGGCTAGATATTGTGAGGGTCCTTTGGGAGAGAAGTAAACAGTGTGGAGGCACAGATAGATCATTATGGTCTGGAGAGAATGGCACTGCGAGGAGTTACCAGGGGATCTGGCAGCCACTCACCACTCAGTGGAAGGGCAAGACTCATATATAGTTAGTCAGTTACTGGTACCATAATAATTGCTTGCTGCTGAAGATGGGGACGCAGTGCTTATGGGAGTGCGTCCTGAGTACTGTGATGTTGATTTTTAATTCAGCATTCAACCTGCCTACTTGTCTGTATGTCTGTTCGTTCTATCTGCTTTTTGAACTGTCTTCTTGTCTGTCTGTCTGGTGATCTAGTTGCCTGCTTTTCTGTCTGCTTGTCTGGCTGTTGCTTATTGACCTGGTTATTGTGACAATGACAACATTAGCATTCAAGTGCTGATTGGCTGCTCTCCCTCTCTCTCTCTTTCTTTATTTATACACACACATACACACACACACATTTGTTGTGTTTAAGCACATTTGCTGAAACTGGGGGTGGCAATAATGGGAAAGAATAAGGGGTGAGCTACAAACAATGGCAAAGGATGGGATGACTTGGCACAAGTTAGAAGGCCTGTGCTCCGCTAGGAGATAACATTCAAAAGAAGAGCACAGAAAGTTCAGGTAGCCACTGTCTGACAGGAACAGTTCATGTGATTCATTGACAGACGTGTTCAACGTTGCAAGACCAGGCAAGCACACTGAAATCAGTATGCTGGTTTGTGTGTTAGCAAGTAAGGATTACACTGGAGAGGGTATCACGTGATTCTCCTCCTTATTGCTTCGCTAATGAGAGTATGTGTGTGCAGCTAGCATTGTATTAAAATTACCTGGTAGATTTTACTTGTATAGTTTTTGCATGAGCGGTCTAAGCTGCAGCTAGCATTCTTTTTGCAATGTTTCAGACATAAACCAAGTGGCATGGTTTGTAGTAAATAGTAAGGTTGGAAAAAAGAAAATGACCCTTTTCCATCCTTTCAGATGTATTTGGCATACAAGGCTAGACCAGTCTGCACTTGGTGGGGGATGTAGTTTACATCATGTTGGCCACCTTTACTTCCCAGGATTTACCTGGTACCCAATTAAGGCTGAGTCCGCCTGGGGGCCAAAGTCATTTTTGAATCAGGGCTGGCTTCTTTCAGATCCTCAGGCAGGCATCTAGCTGCTACACCATGGCGGCTCCCTATAAACAGTAAACATTATTAATTAGGAAAATCATGTATTTTTTCTTTGACAATGGAAAATAACAGTAGCAGGGTTACATGCATGCCTGACACTGATGTTAATCTACACAGAGTGAATAATCTGTAACAAATGGATTGTGTGGTTGTAATCTACCAACAGCTGACGCAGTTCAAGGAAGATGTAGCGCTGACCACCAGGGATTTAAAGGAAGAGGCTGGTATCTCCATGCATTCCATGAGGGTCAGCTTCTTTGACTATTTCCACATCTCCCCAATTAAGGTTCGAACTGTGTCAGATCACTGTTTTTGTTCGGTAACTCTTTAGGTCCCAGACGGTTCTGCTATAGATAACCCTGAAGTAAACAATAATCAGTGTGAACTGTCAAGACAGATGTTGCTTTTATAAAGGCTAAACCCAGTGGGAGTGATCACATATTCTAGCAAACTGTCCAGGATGTTTCATTAAGAGAACACATTATGCAATGGTTGAAAGTCAACAGAAATAGCCAGTGACACATGTTACATTGCTGAGGACTTGGAGAAAAAAAACATTTTAATTCTGCATTTTTACATTTTTACCAGTGCACACCTCTGACTATAGATCGTGACGGTTATGTTTTGAGAACGATGTAACATTTAAGCAAAAAAGTCAAAAGCGATAGATTGCACAATTTATTGTGTGCCATATTCCCTTGTATCCGGTCATGTGCATTCTGTAGAATTAAACAATGGGAAAGAAATAAAGTCTTCTAGCTGCAGTACAAAGATACACTACACTCAAAGATAACTGCACAGTTTACAAATGCAAGTTTACAATTGTGTCTACACAAGACTGCATGAGACCAGTTGATAGCAGCAGCTTAACAGACTTGAGTGAACTGGGACAGGATGATGTAATCAAAATGTGAAATGCATTTCTTTGTTACAATATGATCAGAATTCAAAAGGTGTTGTATAATTAGGGTGACCCTAAGTCCTGTTTTCACCTGGGCAGTATCCTTTTTTTTAGGTAGGTCCAGACTGTCTCGTTGATGCTCAACATTGAATGGAAAAGAAATCTAAACAAAACAAGAAAGTCCTAAGGATATGGTCACCCTATGCATAATGGATGTGGCATCATCTTTACATTCAGTCTGCTGAACCTACATTGGTATTTGTTCTGTTATATCATGTACCATTATAGTGTAGAGAGAATAGTGTGACTGTGAGTAACCAGAGGATCTAGATGACACTATACTTAGAGAAGAATCTGAATGACACTACACTTAGAGGAGGATCTGGATGACACTACACTTAGAGAAGGATCTGGATGATATTATACTTAGAGGAGGATCTGGATGACACTACACTTAGAGGAGGATCTGGATGACACTACACTTAGAGAAGGATCTGGATGACATTACACTTAGAGGAGGATCTGGATGACACTACACTTAGAGGAGGATCTGGATGATATTATACTTAGAGGAGGATCTGGATGACACTACACTTAGAGGAGGATCTGGATGACACTACACTTAGAGAAGGATCTGGATGACACTACAGTTAGAGGAGGATTTGGATGACACTACACTTAGAGAAGAATCTGGATTACACTACACTTAGAGGAGGATCTGGATGACACTACACTTAGAGGAGGATCTGAATGACACTATACTTAGAGGAGGATCTGGATGACACTACACTTAGAGAAGGATCTGGATGACACTACAGTTAGAGCACGATCTGGATGACACTACTCTTAGAGGAGGCTCTGGATGACACTACACTTAGAGAAGGATCTGGATAACACTACAGTTAGAGCACGATCTGGATGACACTGCACTTAGAGGAGGTTCTGGATGACATTACACTTAGAGAAGGATCTGGATGACACTACACTTAGAGGAGGTTCTGGATGACACTACACTTAGAGGAGGTTCTGGATGACACTACACTTAGAGAAGGATCTGGATGACACTACACTTAGAGGAGGATCTGGATGACACTACACTTAGAGAAGGATCTGGACGACACTACACTTAGAGGAGGATGTGGATGACACTACACTTAGAGGAGGATCTGGATGACACTACACTTAGAGGAGGATCTGAATGACACTACACTTAGAGAAGGATCTGGATGACACTATACCTAAAGGAGGATCTGGATGACACTACACTTAGAGGGGATTCTGGATGACACTACACTTAGAGGAGGTTCTGGATGACACTACACTTAGAGGAGGATCTGGATGACACCACAGTTAGAGCAGGATCTGGATGACACTACACTTAGAGGAGGTTCTGGATGACACTACACTTAGAGGAGGTTCTGGATGATGCTACACTTAGAGGAGGTTCTGGATGATACTACACTTAGAGGAGGATCTGGATGACACTACACTTACAGAAGGATCTGGATGACACTACACTTAGAGGAGGTTCTGGATGACACTACACTTAGAGGAGGATCTGGATAACACTACACTTACAGAAGGATCTGAATGACACTACACTTAGAGGAGGTTCTGGATGACACTACAGTTACAGCAGGATCTGGATGACACTACACTTAGAGGAGGATCTGGATGACACTACACTTAGAGGAGGATCTGGATGACACTACACTTAGAGGAGGATCTGGATGACACTACACTTAGAGAAGGATCTGGATGACACTACACTTAGAGGAGGATCTGGATGACACTACACTTAGAGAAGGATCTGGATGACACTACACTTAGAGGAGGATCTGGATGACACTACACTTAGAGGAGGATCTGGATGACACTACACTTAGAGGAGGATCTGAATGACACTACACTTAGAGAAGGATCTGGATGACACTATACCTAAAGGAGAATCTGGATGACACTACACTTAGAGGGATTCTGGATGACACTACACTTAGAGGAGGTTCTGGATGACACTACACTTAGAGGAGGATCTGGATGATATTATACTTAGAGGAGGATCTGGATGACACTACACTTAGAGGAGGATCTGGATGACACTACACTTAGAGAAGGATCTGGATGACACTACAGTTAGAGGAGGATTTGGATGACACTACACTTAGAGAAGAATCTGGATTACACTACACTTAGAGGAGGATCTGGATGACACTACACTTAGAGGAGGATCTGAATGACACTATACTTAGAGGAGGATCTGGATGACACTACACTTAGAGAAGGATCTGGATGACACTACAGTTAGAGCACGATCTGGATGACACTACTCTTAGAGGAGGCTCTGGATGACACTACACTTAGAGGAGGTTCTGGATGACACTACACTTAGAGGAGGATCTGGATGACACCACAGTTAGAGCAGGATCTGGATGACACTACACTTAGAGGAGGTTCTGGATGACACTACACTTAGAGGAGGTTCTGGATGATACTACACTCAGAGGAGGATCTGGATGACACTACACTTACAGAAGGATCTGGATGACACTACACTTAGAGGAGGATCTGGATGACACTACACTTACAGAAGGATCTGGATGACACTACACTTAGAGAAGGACCTGGATGACACTACACTTAGAGAAGGATCTGGATGACACTACACTTAGAGGAGGATCTGGATGACACTACACTTAGAGGAGGATCTGGATGACACTACACTTAGAGAAGGATCTGGATGACACTACACTTAGAGAAGGATCTGGATGACACTACACTTAGAGAAGGATCTGGATGACACTACACTTAGAGAAGGATCTGGATGACACTACACTTAGAGAAGGACCTGGATGACACTACACTTAGAGAAGGATCTGGATGACACTACACTTAGAGAAGGATCTGGATGACACTACACTTAGAGGAGGATCTGGATGACACTACACTTAGAGAAGGATCTGGATGACACTACACTTAGAGAAGGATCTGGATGACACTACACTTAGAGAAGGATCTGGATGACACTACACTTAGAGGAGGATCTGGATGGCACTACACTTAGAAAAGAATCTGGATGACACTACACTTAGAGAACGATCTGGATGACACTACACTAAGAGAAGGATCTGGATGACGCTACACTTAGAAAAGAATCTGGATGACACTACACTTAGAGAACGATCTGGATGACACTACACTAAGAGAAGGATCTGGATGACGCTACACTTAGAGAAGGATCTGGATGACACTACACTTAGAGGAGGATCTGGATGACACTACACTTAGAGAAGGATCTGGATGACACTACACTTAGAGGAGGATCTGGATGACACTACACTTAGAGGAGGATCTGGATGACACTACACTTAGAGGAGGATCTGAATGACACTACACTTAGAGAAGGATCTGGATGACACTATACCTAAAGGAGAATCTGGATGACACTACACTTAGAGGGATTCTGGATGACACTACACTTAGAGGAGGTTCTGGATGACACTACACTTAGAGGAGGATCTGGATGACACCACAGTTAGAGCAGGATCTGGATGACACAACTTTTAGAGGAGGTTCTAAGTGTAGTGTCATTCAGATTCTTCTCTAAGTATAGTGTCATCTAGATCCTCTGGTTACTCACAGTCACACTATTCTCTCTACACTATAATGGTACATGATATAACAGAACAAATACCAATGTAGGTTCAGCAGACTGAATGTAAAGATGATGCCACATCCATTATGCATAGGGTGACCATATCCTTAGGACTTTCTTGTTTTGTTTAGATTTCTTTTCTTCAATGTTGAGCATCAACGAGACAGTCTGGACCTACCTAAAAAAAAGGATACTGCCCAGTGAAAACAGGACTTAGGGTCACCCTAATTATACAACACCTTTTGAATTCTGATCATATTGTAACAAAGAAATGCATTTCACATTTTGATTACATCATCCTGTCCCAGTTCACTCAAGTCTGTTAAGCTGCTGCTATCAACTGGTCTCATGCAGTCTTGTGTAGACACAATTGTAAACTTGCATTTGTAAACTGTGCAGTTATCTTTGAGTGTAGTGTATCTTTGTACTGCAGCTAGAAGACTTTATTTCTTTCCCATTGTTTAATTCTACAGAATGCACATGACCGGATACAAGGGAATATGGCACACAATAAATTGTGCAATCTATCGCTTTTGACCTTTTTGCTTAAATGTTACATCGTTCTCAAAACATAACCGTCACGATCTATAGTCAGAGGTGTGTACTGGTAAAAACGTAAAAATGCAGAATTTAAATTTTTTTTTTCCAAGTCCTCAGCAATGTACCATGTGTCAGTGGCTATTTCTGTTGACTTTCAACCATTGCATAATGTGTTCTCTTAATGAAACATCCTGGACAGTTTGCTAGAATATGTGATCTGGATGACACTACACTTAGAGGAGGATCTGGATGACACCACAGTTAGAGCAGGATCTGGATGACACAACTTTTAGAGGAGGTTCTGGATGACACTACACTTAGAGAAGGTTCTGGATGATACTACACTTAGAGGAGGATCTGGATGACACTACACTTAGAGGAGGATCTGGATGACACTACACTTAGAGAAGAATCTGGATGACACTACACTTAGAGAAGGATCTGGATGACACTACAATAAGATAAGGATCTGGATGACACTACACTAAGAGAAGGATCTGGATGACACTACACTTAGAGAAGGACCTGGATGACACTACACTTAGAGGAATGACAAATAATCATGCTGCTGCTGCTGGTGGTAATATCAGAATTGGATCTCTTTTGCTGGCTTCTGAAGGTGAGAAAGGATCACATGTGGAGAAGTCCTAAGTGCTGGGTGTTGTTCCTGACAGCTAAAGTGGCTTGACAGGATCTCTAAAGCTGATTAATCTGGAACAGAGGCCAGTGTAAGAGAGAGCCACACCTGCCAGGTTTTCAGACAGTGACAACATGCAGCAAATCCACATGACACAAGAGGAATCATTCAGTCTAAGAGACGTGCTATAGACGTTCCAGTCTTGCCACCACTCTGAATGCAAGCACAGTATTCACCAGCAAGTGTTCCAACTACTTATTATTTGGTTTGGTTTCAACAACGGATCAACAACATGGCACAAGGGTAGTAACCAATGAGTGCCCCGTTTTACTTCTAACTCCACCCTGAGTGCCAAGAATCTCAACGCAGTGTATGAACTCCCTAGCACCAACTAGGATCCTGAAATACTTTAGGTAGATTTTTAGCTCAAAACTGTTGCCTGGGCAGTGCTGTTAGGCTACTCTTTTCGATTTCCAACTGCCAAGGGATTTGTTTTTGTGTGCAACAATTCCAACTACAGTGCCACCATCTATAACTTGGATCTTGCATCTGGGCTCACCTGAGTCAACCATCATCACAGCATTCACCACAAGCCAAATTAGTCTCTATACTGATGGTACCCATTGTCGTCTGGTTAACTACTTGTCTTGCCTTTCCCCTGAGTCTTGAGTGCCACCCAGAGCCTGCAGACATTCCTCACTGCATCGTTCTCTCCAGGTACAGGTTTTCCCAATATTTTCCAGGTTACTTGTGACCTTGTTCCACAGGTGAGAGATCAGCTCTGTCTTGTGCTTACATAAACAGTTAAACCATTGGCTAAGAAAGTATAAATGTGGTTTTGACATGATGTTCACTAACGTCACTGACTCTTCCTAGATCAACTTCAGCTTTTCCCTGCAAGGAGGCAAACTGAGTGATCGAGTTCATTCGAGTGTCATGGGCATCTTTCTGCAGAGTGTGGGAGTTGTGCTGACAGATGTTCATGATGTAGTGTTCAAGTCAGTAGATGAACTCAGTTATTATTTGCTCAATTCAGCATCATGTTATTTTCAGTTGCTATTCGCTCATTTCAGCATCATGTTATTTTCAGTTGTTTCGGGTTCATATCAGCCATGTCAAACTTGCATTTTGTACATTTACATCCATTAAATATATCTTTATTTGTTACATGTTCACATCCACTGTATAATATTTGTATTTATTACGTGTTCACATCCACTGTATAATATTTTTATTTGTTACATGTTCACATCCACTGTATAATATTTTTATTTGTTACATGTTCACATCCACTGTATAATATTTTTATTTGTTACTTGTTTACATCCACTGTATAATATTTTTATTTGTTACATGTTCACATCCACTGTATAATATTTTTATTTGTTACATGTTCACATCCACTGTATAATATTTTTATTTGTTACATGTTCACATCCACTGTATAATATTTGTATTTGTTACATGTTCACATCCACTGTATAATATTTGTATTTGTTACATGTTTACATCCACTGTATAATATTTTTATTTTGTTACATGTTCACATCCACTGTATAATATTTGTATTTGTTACATGTTCACATCCACTGTATAAAATTATTATTTGTTACATGTTTACATCCACTAAATAATATCTTCTTTTGTTACATGTTCACATCCACTGTATATTTTTGTTTCATGTTCACATCCACTGTATATTTTTATTTGTTTCATGTTCACATCCACTATATAATCTCTTCTTTTGTTGTTTTATGTTCATATCCACTGTATAATATTTTTACTTGTTACATGTTCACATCCACTGTATAATATATTTAGCATAACCCTGCCGTCAAAGCTTAAAGTATACAGAGCAGTTGTATTAATTACACTGCTGTACGCTGGGAAACATGGACTGTATACCAGCGCCAGGCCAGAAAGTTAAACCACTTTCACACAGTCTGCCTTAGAAAACTAATGTAAATCAGATGGCAAGACAAAGTACCTGATACCGTAGTCCTTGAGAAAGCAGCCATGCTCAGCATCCACACCGTACTGATGCAGTATCAAATTCATTGGGCTGGTCATGTGACACGCATGCCAGATCACAGGCTCCCAAAAAAACTCTTCTATATGAGCTGCAAAATGGGAAACGTTCCCAGGGCGGGCAAAAGAAATGCTTTAAGGACACCTTGAAGTCTTCACTCAAAGCATTTGAGATGAATGACACCAATTCGGAGGTTGCCTCTCAAGACCGAAATGCATGGCGTGCAGTCTACACAAGGGTGCGGCTACATGTGAAGCAAACAGAACAGCAAGACTGGTTAAGAAAAGGATGGACAGAAAGGCGACTGCAGGAGATCTCCTCCCTGGCACAACGCTCATTCCCTGTCCTCACTGTCCAAAAACTAATTGGGCCCACATGGGCCTCATCAGTCATCTTCGTACTCATACTTGATGAAAAAGAGTGGCCATCATCATCTTGATGGACAACACACACATAATATATTTATTTGTTACATGTTCACATCCACTGTATATTTTTATTTGTTACATGTTCACATCCACTGTATAAGGTCTTTATGTGTTTGATGTTTACATCCCCCATAATATATCATCTTTTGTTTCATGTTCACATCCACTGTATAATGTCTTTTGTTTTGTTGTTGTTGTTTTGTTACATGTTCACCATATTTTCTTCAAGAAAACAGCTAGTAAGAATCATTGAATGTCTTCTAAAAGCTTATCTTCACTAATCTTGTTGTTTTCTTCAGACTTGGATATTTTGAAAAGAACTATTCATTCTGTGACAACTCTAAACTGACCAAGGAATTTATCATACACTACACTGGCCAGGTGAGTTGCCATCTCCTGTGCTGACACTGTTGGCTGTATCAGGACTACACTCAGATGGAGAATTATCAACACGCATGTATGACACACACTTGATTGGTTGGTTACTGGTTTAAGCATACCCCATAGATGCTCTATCTCCCACAGCCAATGGTTTAGATGCTGACGGTTCCAGTAACACACTGGTGGTACAGTCATACTCTATCTCTCATACATTATGTCTTGCCAGATCCACAGTGAATAACTGATTACCAATCATCATCATGTAGCAGGTCCTCTGCAGAACCTTGCTGTCATAACAATCTGCCTGAAAGAAACTGTCTCCCACCAACTCTCCCGCCTCATGTACTTTCATATCCAAGGTGTACTTTCATATCCAAGGTGTACTTTCATATCCAAGGTGTACTTTCATATCCAAGGTGTACTTTCATATCCAAGGTGTACTTTCATATCCAAGGTGTATTTTCATATACAAGGAGCCACTTAAATCCTGTGCCCATCTATATGTTGTTCGACCCCTGCCCATCCCTCCTCGTGGTACCATGCCTTCTGCTGTTATTATTGTTTCCAGTCTGCCATGATGCTTTATATGGCCAAAATATTTCAGCTTCTGAGACAGAGTATTTTTCTAAAGCGTTTTAGCTCAAAAGCCCCAATTGTTTTTCCCTCATGGACTGGAAGATAGTCAACAGTCTATCAATCTGTCAGTGTGTAGAAAACATACTTTGAATACCATTAAGTAAACCAACCAACATGAATGTGTTAGTTGCTCTTTCATTACCTTGTAAAGTGACACTTCTTCTTCTTCTTCGCGTTCACCAGCTGTACACTCTGGTGGAAAGTTCTGGTTGCTCGTCCACTACTGAACTGCAGTCCGCTCCAGCACCTGAGTGTTGCATGTGCATCAGTTTTACAAATCTCATTCTCTTGAATACAGACTGTTGGTTCCTTGCCTCTCCGGCAGATGCACTCCGACTTCAAAGGAAGCTCCCCAATTAGTCGACTCTTACGACATGCTTTTGGGGAGGCACCCACACGGGCGTAAAGTGACACTGTTGTGTGTCTAATCAGGATTGTTCACCTCAGGGGTTAGAATTCATGCCTCAGACACTGAGAGAGATTTGTTCCCTTATTGGGTAGGGCAAGACGTTTTTTGTCATTGAAGATATGATCAGTTCAAATTTCGTTAACTGTGTGGTGACTACCTGACATGAAGCCCTCATCCTCAACTTGTAAACCATCCTTCAGCTGAAGCAGAAATGGTGTGATGGTAGTTTGTCCCTGAAGTTTAGAAATGGTGTAATGGTAGTTTGTCCCTGGAGTTTAGAAATGGTGTAATGGTAGTTTGTCACTGAAGTTCAGAAATGGTGTAATGGTAGTTTGTCCCTGAAGTTTAGAAGAAATGGTAGTTTGTCCCTGAAGTTTAGAAATGGTGTAATGGTAGTTTGTCCCTGAAGTTTAGAAATGGTGTAATGGTAGTTTGTCACTGAAGTTTAGAAATGGTGTAATGGTAGTTTGTCCCTGAAGTTTAGAAATGGTGTAATGGTAGTTTGTCACTGAAGTTTAGAAATGGTGTAATGGTAGTTTGTCCCTGAAGTTTAGAAATGGTGTAATGGTAGTTTGTTCCTGAAGTTTAGAAATGGTGTAATGGTAGTTTGTCACTAAAGTTTAGAAATGGTGTAATGGTAGTTTGTCACTGAAGTTTAGAAATGGTGTAATGGTAGTTTGTCACTGAAGTTTAAAAATGGTGTAATGGTAGTTTAGCCATTCACTAAAGGTGAAAGAGGTGCTCTGTCTATGACTTCAGGCTGTGAAACAGATGTATGTTCTGGTGCTAGGACTTGATGTGCTGGGCAACCCATTTGGACTGTTACGTGGTTTAACTGAGGGGATTGAGGACCTATTCTACGAGCCTTACCAGGTTTGTGTGTTACCTGTCTGCTATAGTTGTAGAAGGTAGTCAGCATTGATTGGCACTCTGAGAGGAGATCTTTGGTGTGACTGAGTATTGTTGTGAAACAGTTTTGTGAATATATTAAATGTCATTTCATGATGAAGAGGCATTTAAATCTAATTTTATTGAAGACATTTTTCTGAAGGTGTTTGGCCTTTAAAAAAAATGTTTCTAGAGGAGTGGGTCAGATTTGCACTTGGTTTTATACCATACAGCTCAGTCTTCCTCCGTAGAGAAGCCATTTCTGCAAAAGTGTGTTCTGTCTTCTTTTTTGTCCTTCTGATTATGCCACAAAGCTTAGCACAGAGGAGCTAAATGTAGTTTCCTATCTTTTTGCTAGTTGATGGCTGGTGATAACGCCATATTGCATTTCTGTAGTGTCCCTTTTACTCCCTCCACCAATATTTGTCTTGGTCATCCTTTTGCCATGTAGCCTGCTGTTCTCCTGTAGTACGCTCTAGCTGCTGTAGCCTGCTGTTCTCCTGTAGTACGCTCTAGCTGCTGGCTGATTTTGTTCCATTCTGACCAGATGACCAAACCATTTCATTCTATGATGTTCTGTGAAATCATTTAGTGGCAATGTGCCTAACATTGTTATTAGTTTATTGTTGGTGACTTTGTCTCTTCTTGCTTTTTCCCACTGCATTTCTGATATATCATCTCACATGTTGTGATTCAGCATTCATGTTTTCCAAGGACAGTCTGGCAGCCTGGCATTGATAGCACACAGTTGATATGAATAGCTCATTTATCAGCTGTCACCAAGCATAAAACTTAACAGCCTCTTTCTTTATCTCTGCCTTTAAAAAAAAAAATTTCTTTTGTATCTCTTTCTTTATCCCCGTGTGTCTTTTTCTCTTTTTGATATATATCTCTCTCTCTTTTGTCAAGATTAATACGTGTGTGTGTGTGCTCACATGAGTGTTTGTCTGCGTGTGTGCATGCATGCATGAGTAGAATAGGAAGTTTCAAACCAGTACAAATTCTATGACAGCCAGTTAGTTCATTACCGGGTCAAGCACACCAAGTAGTGACCCCAGAGTCATTTTTCCTCTTCCTAACTTTGAGTCTGAAAGGATCTGAAAAGAAGAAGTGCTCAGAAAAAGAGCCCTGCATCTCATCAATTTGTGAACTATTCTATGTAAACCCTACTACATTGTCCTCTGTGTACTATTCTATGTAAACCCTACTACATTGTCCTCTGTGTACTATTCTATGTAAACCCTACTACATTGTCCTCTGTGTACTATTCTATGTAAACCCTACTACATTGTCCTCTGTGTACTATTCTATGTAAACCCTACTACATTGTCCTCTGTGTACTATTCTATGTAAACCCTACTACATTGTCCTCTGTGTACTATTCTATGTAAACCCTACTACATTGTCCTCTGTGTACTATTCTATGTAGACCCTACTACGTTGTCCTCTGTGTACTATTCTATGTAAACCCTACTACGTTGTCCTCTGTGTACTATTCTATGTAGACCCTACTACGTTGTCCTCTGTGTACTATTCTATGTAAACCCTACTACATTGTCCTCTGTGTACTATTCTATGTAAACCCTACTACATTGTCCTCTGTGTACTATTCTATGTAGACCCTACTACATTGTCCTCAGTGTACTATTCTATGTAAACCCTACTACATTGTCCTCTGTGTACTATTCTATGTAAACCCTACTACATTGTCCTCTGTGTACTATTCTATGTAAACCCTACTACATTGTCCTCAGTGTACTATTCTATGTAGACCCTACTACATTGTTCTCTGTGTACTATTCTATGTAAACCCTACTACGTTGTCCTGGTACTGGTACTGGTGTGGGTAAAAAAACCGAAAAACTTCTTGCCTCTTTCAACCGGCTCCTATACTGAGCGTTGGTTATATCGAAGCGGCGTTTTGTTGTCTGGAGTTTTGTTCTCCAGTTATTGACGTTTCTGTTGTGGCGATTTACATTTCTGCTTGAGGTTTGTTGCTTTTGTCAGGGTGAGGTAAGTGGGCGTGGCTTGGGCACGGACATCGTGTCGTCTGGTTGTGGGCTGTGAGGTTTCTCCGGTCTGGTGGGCGGGCAAGGCTGCTGATGTGTCTGCTCGGCGGGTAGCTGTTGATTTCCTGGGTTTCCCGCAAGATGGTGGCTTGATCAGGTCGTTTCGGGTGGGAGTGAGTGGATCATACTTATTAGCGGTATCGTCTGTTTGGCGTTCCCTGGTTCGGCCGTCTCCTTCTTGCCTTGATCAGTTGTTCATGGGCTGCGCACATTTCTTCCCAGAACACATTCATTTTCATGTAGAAGGCTTTGCTTTCTGTGTCGGGTAGCAGGCTGACTTTCTCTTTCTCTTCGTCATCAAAAGAGATAACGTAACGGCCGTGCTCTAGCATGATCTCGTGCGGGTGTATTTGTTTGTTGATACTTTGTAGCCTCTCTAGGACGTCGGCCTCGCTTATCTCCTTGTTGGTTATCGCGTTTTTCTGGTCGGCTTTTTTTCTAGCTTCAGAGTCTGGATTCGGGCTATTGGTTACTGTGCTTTGGCCTCTGCTTTCTGGTGTTTCAGTCATCTGTGCCTGGTTTTGGTCTGTTGTCAGTTGGTCAGTGCAAGTACTTTTGCCTGCTTTTGCTTCGGTGATTGTGCCTTTATCCGCCTTCTGCGTCGATTTGTCTGTGTGGGTGCTTTTGTCAGCCCTGCTGACACTTAGGTTCTTTGTTGTTATGCTGACCGCCGTTCTTTCTTTCTGTAACCGGTCGCGCTCTGATTTGGTAGCTATCTCAGCCGCGACTGCCTCTGTTTTAGCCTGTACAAGTCGGGTGACCTCTCTGTATGCTTCTTCTCTCGCCTCTTTCAGCGCTGCCATCTCTCTGCTTCTCTCCTCTCTCTCCTCCTGTCTACATCTTTCGTCTGCTGTCTGGGCCGCTGCCAAACTTGCTATTAAATTGCTGACGCTTTCTTTGGTGGCTGTGGCTTCTTTCTGGTTTGCGCTTAGCTGTGCAGTAAACGCTATCCTGTCGTCTTTCAGGTTTTTAATTTCTCCTAGCAGCAGGGAGATAATTTCGTGCGTTTCTGCCTTTTCAGCAGCAGCGATGGTTTTCTGTTTCTGGAGCTCTGCCTTTAGTTCCGTGATTATGTTTGCAAGTTCAGGGTCTCTGGTGGTAGCATCTTTCTCTGGCAGCCTGCTTTTGGCTGGGCGGGCGGGTCGGCATTTTGTGCTGCTTGGTCTGGGTGCCACGTACCTCTGCTGGTGGTTCAATCGGTCAGTTGCTAGCGCCAACTTGATCTCTTTGAGGTACGGGCAGCCCATATACCTCGCGCTGTGGGCCCCTGTACAGTTTGAGCACCGTCTTCTTGGGTTTGGTCTCTTGAAGTCCGGGTCCTCCTTCGCCAGAGGGCATTCCTTGAAGTCATGTGCCTGTGAGCAGTATCTGCATGCTGGGTTGCTGCGGCAAGTCGCGGCGGTATGCCACGCCTTGTTGCAGCGTGAGCACTGCAGAATCTCAGTACAGTGGGTACCCGGTCGCTGTTGCTGCCTGTGTGGGCGGGTGTTGGTGGCTCCCTGCGCCACGACTGGGGCGGCTTCTAAGTAGGCTGGTGCCTCGATAGGGCCTACATCCAGGGCTGGCGGTGTCTGGGCTGGTGTCTCCTCCGGGTCGTCGACCGGTTCTGGCATCATCAGGTCTGGTGCGGCGACAGGTGCTTCCTCTTTGTTGGCTGAGGTCGCCCTGGTGTCCCGGCGCTGGACCGGATTCTTCTTACCACGGGCCATGGTTTCGTGTGGCTGAGGATGGTAAGTCGGGCGGCAATTGATTGCTCGGTCCCTGCAGAGTCTGGCAAGGCTTGTTAGAGTATCCTGAGAAGGACACCCAAGCGTGCTTTTCTCCGCAGTTCTCGAGACAATCGTTAAAAAAAACTGGCTGGTGTGACTGGCTCCTCAACAATGATGTGCTCCCGGGCCGCTAATAACCCACCCGCAGACGAATAACAATAGCGTAGTCGAGCCAAAACTCAGCCGAATATCAAGCGAGTTCTGACCAGTATCTAGCTATTGATAATCTGGCTGCGAATGGATAGTTAGCAAGCTAACGAGAGACACGTGGCTGATCGGGCGGTAAATCGAGCGAGCGAGAGAGAGCTGTGTCCGACTGGGCTGATGTGGTTACGTTGTCCTCTGTATACTATTCTATGTAAACCCTACTACATTGTCCTCTGTGTACTATTCTATGTAAACCCTACTACATTGTCCTCTGTATACTATTCTATGTAAACCCTACTACATTGTCCTCTGTGTACTATTCTATGTAAACCCTACTACATTGTCCTCTGTGTACTATTCTATGTAGACCCTACTACATTGTCCTCTGTGTACTATTCTATGTAAACCCTACTACATTGTCCTCTGTGTACTATTCTATGTAAACCCTACTACATTGTCCTCTGTGTACTATTCTATGTAAACCCTACTACGTTGTCCTCTGTGTACTATTCTATGTAAACCCTACTACATTGTCCTATGTATACCATTCTATGTAAACCCTACTACATTGTCCTCTGTGTACTATTCTATGTAAACCCTACTACATTGTCCTCTGTGTACTATTCTATGTACACCCTACTACATTGTCCTCTGTGTACTATTCTATGTAAACCCTACTACATTGTCCTCTGTGTACTATTCTATGTAAACCCTACTACATTGTCCTCTGTGTACTATTCTATGTAAACCTTACTACATTGTCCTCTGTGTACTATTATTCCCCGGGTTCACCCAGCCTCTAGGAAATGGGTACCAGAGTTGACACTCTGGGGTAATTGGAGGAACGTTGCTGTAGCTACAGAATTACGTACGAATAGCAACACATGCGGAAAATTCTTATCAACTGCCCGTACTGGTATCAGAGCACTTATGGTTTATAACCGTGTGCAATGATGCTGGTTCACATCTCCCAACTTTACCTTTAACCTTTTACCTACTT